ATCTTCGAGAAAACGGCCTGCTTTGGCGCAGCCCTGACGTCCCTGAAACTAGTTGCTCCTCCTGAAACTAGTTGCCCTGACGTCCCCTTGGTTGATGACTTGTCTATGCTCCTCCAACAAAACCAAGGGGAAGGTCATATCGAAAGTCGTCGACTCATCGCCGCTCCAACTGAGCCGACGACCTCTGAAGGCCCCGAGAGACCTCGCTACGTCGACCGTGAGCCGTTGCCCAGTTCTCAAGAGCAACCCAGCCTGGTCCTGGGGGAGACCATCAACGGTCCGTGACTTCGCCTCGTCCGACTCGGTCCATTCACCGCTCTCCGTTCACCGCTCTCCGCTGTTCAGGTCTCGTCCCACGTGGTGCCTGTGTGGCGTGTGCCAGATCATTTGAATGCCCCGATGAAACCTCGTGGGAGGGATGGCGAGGGCGGGATGGCGAGGGAGGGCGCAGGTGTTCGGTCACCACAAAAGAGGTACATCGGGACACGGACTTCAGGACAAAACCAAACTAACATAGGAAAAACATACACCATGTCAGCAGGAAACATCTGCGTGCTAATGGGGAAGATAAGCCATCAAAGGTTGGGGGTCAGCAGATTTCTTATTCGGCATGCCCGCATCCTACAACCATCCCAATGATCGAATATAAAAAAAACAGAAATGACAAACTGTTGATCCATGAAACATGTTCATTCTTTTCCCATGTGTTTGCATCTCCCATGTTTGTTGTTTTCCATGGAAGCCATCAGCAGTGGGTCGTTTGAGCACGTTAGACGTTAAACGTAATTGTGCTGCGTGCATGGTTACTGGCCAGTTCACAGTTCTCCTGGCATCTGGTTAGCGGGTAGATTGCCTCAACATCTGAATGGGTTTGCTCAAATATCATGCAGACTGTAGTAAGATGAACTAACCCCCAGGAAGAACGGATTTACATTGTGATCTGCATGGTTTGATTCATCAACTGTCGCTTTTGCTCAAATCGAGGGACCCAAAAAGAAACACCGTTGTTCTCAGGTCGGCACCGCTGACTGACGGAGACGCTCATCAGGGGGGGCTGTGAAGGCCAGCAAGATACACACCTCCTGAAAGCGAAGAAGGCACATGGAGCCCTCGTCATCTTCCGTCACGCCCCAAATGACGTGGCCTGGAAGCTTCATGTCTGGAATGTTTTGTGGGCAAGTTTAAGATGTTTGTTTGTGTGAGTCGATCGTCAGCCCCAAAACCATGAGGAGGAGCAATGTGGATAGGTTCATCAACTGCAAAACCTTTGCCTTTCCGGATTTGGGTGGTCTCAGCAGGTCCAAACTCAATGTGTCTTAGAGAAGGGAGCCCCAACTCGAGATCTCTCTCAACTTAAACCGCTATGTTGGGAGTCCACTGATTTCGAGACAAGCACACATTTCTTGAAGACCTGTCTGGGAACCTTGGCCAAATTCTCCAGCCAAAGCCTCGCTGATGAACCAAAGCCGTTGGCACCGCCGTCGGCCTCACCCGTCCTTGTCAAGGTTTCCTTCCTGGACACAGTAGTGCTCGGCCAGTGTGTACATCCTCAGCTCGTCGCAAACGGCCAGACGTGCTCGCCGCCCCCCGGATCGCGTGCTCGTCGCACGGGCGATCCGGCTTCGAAGCCTGGGCGAGGTTTTGAGCTCGGAACAACCATATACCATATACCATAGTCTGCAGCAACGTTCTGTTAGAACCAACTCTGACTGAAAAGAACCATCGACCATATACATTCAGTCCGAGTCCCGAAATCGGGTGCCAGGAACTCTGGGAGGACGTACAGTTCGTCCATCTTTTCTTGAGGACAAGCAATCGGTGCTTAGGTTTCTGAAATACCCACGCAAAGAACTCACGATCACGAGCAGAATCTCTCTGCTGAGGTGCCAAATGTAGAAGAAGGCATTCAAGATCAAGCGCCGGACCACAAAGCGCCACTCCTGTTGAGCATGCACGCTCAGCAATCCCATCTATAGTAAACCCGAAAACATGGAAAAGGACCGAGGATTTTCCAGCTCATAGATTCCTAGTAGGAAGGCACCGTGCTACTAGTAGCTTCTTGCTACTAGTAGCGATGGCCTCCAACCGACTAGCTTCTTGTTACGGCAGGCAGTACCAGCAGAACTTGGGCCCCGGAACAGGCTGCCAAAACAATTCCTTTGGAATGAAACAGTGGATGATGATGATGATGGTTAGTAAAGGCCTTGTTCAAACATGATGATAATTGTTTACTGACTGTTACAGGTAATAGGACAGTCCCAGTTGCATATATGTATGTATATATTATATAATATTAGGTCCACTGTTTCTTCAAGAGGAAGCACTATTGCTGGTCTCATCTGTCAAACAAGTCGGCCCGGGCAGTGATCCCTGTCTGTTTCAGGCGACCATGACCCATATATTGGCAGAGACAGTGCCTGCCCGGTGGAATATGATGAAAGAGACAAAAAATGACAAAAATGTATTTAACAAAAACAGTGCATATATATTATATTATATATAGAAGATTATAGAAGCAACTGGTGACATTACAATCCCAACAACTAATATCTGGTAGAACAAACATTTGCTTCTCCGAGAAACCACCATGGATGGTACAGCCCATCCAATAGGGTTCGAATAGAGTCTATAGTAGTGCGTGGGCTTCCTCAGACTACGCTTCCCCCCCACTTCCCCACCACCAGTTGGTCTTAACTCCAAACATCTTCCGCCGGACCAGGGTTTGCTATAACAAGGAAACACAATCTAAGAATGGATCTTTTTTTCCAGGAGTCACAGAGCTCGGGGTGGTGTGAAACGTCCCATCGAATGGAGTAGCTGGGCACCCCGACTTCCTTCCTCCATGGATCGCACCCCGAGCTCTGATGACTGCTGGTTGTTCTTCTTTGGGAGAAAGATCCGGTGAACACCGACCCCACGAACCACCGACCCTGGCGCCCCAGCGCCCAGCTCCTTCATGGTAGCCGCCAGCAGCTCTGCCAGCGTCTCCGGGAAGCGCCTGGCCGCGCGGAACGCGCGGACCGCAGAGAGCACACAGGAGCAGTGATTTTGGAACCATTATTTGAGTGTTGGGGCATGCTGGCACACGACTGCCATTGAAGTGTTGTTTTTCTCTTCGCCGTGTTTTGTTAAGGAGGTTTTTTTTTGCACGTCAAGCACGAAATGGAACCTGCACACTCCCTGCAACTAACATGGAAATGGATGGCATGGCTAAAAAGAAGGACCAGTTCCGGTGATCGGTCCAGACACTTCGGATCGTCAGAGGTGGTTCCAGACTGCCTGCACATGACGATCCGAAGTGTCACATGTCGGTCCAGAAACATCCATTTTGCCTGCCTAGGAGTATACTAGCCACTGAGTGTGCTACTAAGCAGTCCAATGAACCAGGGTACCTCTCATTCAGGGCCTGCGTTCTTGTGGTCCGGAGTGTTTGCATTTCGTGAGGGCACGCCCCAGCCAGTGAAATATATCATAAGGTAGCTCGGGCGAAGGTATCGGGGCCACTGATGCCAGGCAAGTTTGGAAATGGTGAAAAGGACACCGGAATCAGACCCTATCAATGTGCCAAAAGTGACTGGTTGCAGAGATCCTACACCCAAATACTTCATGTGCTGCATATTTCTTTCATTCGTTTTGGCACGCCCCGTTGCCAAAATCCTAGGTCGAAGAGCACAACCCATCCAGCGCCACAACCCATTCGGGTAGCATCGAAAAATGGTTCCAACCTGCAACCTCAAAAGCCCAACACACGCCAATGGAGAACTAACGTAAGTGTTAAAAGAGAACCGATCGAAGCAAGCCTTGCACTTGGTATGGCAACAGCAATGGCCTCCAACCCAATAGCTTCTATATAGCTATTAGTAGTAATGGCCTCCACCCTAGTAGCGATGGCCTCCAACCTACTTGCGATGGCCTCCACCCAATTAATAGCAATGGCCTCCAACCCAAAAGCAAGTGTCTTTGGTTGACCACTGGGATTGATCAAAGCTTTCCCTTCGCTTTCGTTGTGATCAGCGCCCTTTCTCCGCGTGCGATCAGCAGCCAAAGCGCTAATCTGCGCTTATGCTGCAATCAGCGCGTGCAAACCAGGAGCAAACTGGGGCAGCTGGAATCTGGAAGGGCCAAGAGTCTACTATAAAGTGACCCTGAAATAGATAGAACAGTAAAGAAAAGTGCATCCCGGATCCCCTTTGAGATGTCTTAGTCTTAGGCACATCTTTTCCAACGAATTGAGGCGTTTGTAGGCTCACACTGAGAGTAGATGTGGCCGGAAGATGGGGATGCACTCCAAAAACACCTCTGATCTGACAAGAACATCATTTTCGCACCCCATGTTGATTGCTAGCCATGCAAGGAAAACCCTTGCAGCTTTCATTCATTCTCTCGAAGCCCCGCGAACCCGCAGCATCTCGGATTGCTCAGCTTTCATTTAAAGCTGATGGAATCCTGTGGAAAGATTGGACAAAACTGAAGAAGATGCACATACACACACACACGCTCAACCTCCATGAAATTCATAACACCCTTGGAATCCACTGGCACCTCTAATGAGGTGCTTAACTGGACATGGTTCGACCAAAATGTGTGCACCCTTTCAAAAATCAAGATAAAAACAAAAGAGACAAAACTGCAACCTTTTGCACCATTTTGCGCCTTTGCTTTTTGGGTGAGGCCCCTGCTTTCTGTTTCTTTTGTAAAAGATCATCAAAGAACAGCTGCTTCTTCCAATTTCTCGCTCTTGAACGACGCTCACATGTCACTTTCGCAGCATCACCGCCCGGCGCCACTTCCATGGTACATCCAGTAACAAGTGCCTCGCCAGTAGTAAGACATGCCTTACTGGTAGTAACAAAAAGCTATTAGACTTAAATTAACCTTAAATTTAATAGCTTCTTGTTACTACTAGTAAGGCACCTCTTACTACTAGTAAGGCACTTGTTTCTACTAGCTTATTGCTACTAGTAGTAAGGCACGGGCCTATGAGACTACTAGTAACAAGTGCCTCGTTCACCATTTTGACTCGCTTCCTCCGCCCAGCTAACACTCGCTCCCTTCCGTGGCCATCTTCTGTGGCCTCAAAACGGCCCCAACCCGTGTCCCCGAGGGGACCGCCACTCGGACGCCTCTTCGGCGGACCGAAGCCACGGGTGGGGCGGATTCGCACCAAGAAGCACTTGGAAAGTCTTCCACGGTTGTGGTGAAGAGGAGGTGGCACTACCGAAGGCAGGTGTAGGAAGGTTCCGTCGAACGCGTCGAACGCCTCAAGAAGTAGTTGCGTAGACCCTACAAGTTGAGCATACCAAACCAGGTGATTTGTGTATACAGTGTACAAATTAGTACCAGCAACCTCAATCGAACGTAACCTCAATACAGTTCTACGGTGTTTCTTCAGTCACATTATTTCACTTTGCTTCACTCGGTAGAATGCAGGCCACCTATACCGTTGCAAGAAATACCTGAACAACCCGAGATGCACCACAGCCACACATTGAGATGTATTTGTTCTATCTGCAAACGTTTGGTACAACCAGCAGGGCAAGAAAGACGAGATTCCGACTTACAGGTCGGAACCTGCTCAACAAGGGGCCAAGTCTTATTTTTTTCGAAGCTGTTGGTGGTCTTACCCAGTCGAGATCGCTGAGTACAGTTTTGGAAGATATATGGATTAGCTTTAGGGTTAAGAATGTTAAGGATTACACACCACCCATCTCTTCTACCGTTCTGGGTTGGAGGAATTGGTTCTTGCCTGTTTCGCTCTTCACAAAATCATGACTCCGTGAGCATGGGTCACAGGTGAGTCGCATCCGCCTCAGAAGAAGGGGTAACCGAAGTTCTTCTTGCCGCAAAACCTCAGCTGCCGGTGGTTCGTTGGTGCTTTCCCGCCACTGTGGCGGGAAGGGGGTACGTGCCCGGAACTCCCTGCTCGCATTCGGCCATCGCAGTTCGATCTTTGAAACCATTGAAACAGTGATCAAGAAAGTATGTTACTACTAGTAAGGCACTTGTTACTAGAAGCGATGCACTTGTTTCTAGTAGCTTCTTGTTTCCTAATTTAAAAGAAATGTATCTTTATGCATCTTTGATATTTAAACTTTGGTTGTGATCGTCACCGTTGTAAGCTTGGATGCCCGAGTCTTATCCGGTGACCGACATGGTGCAATATTTTTTTGGAGAGGTTGCTGAACACGACGACCAACTTGTTGAGTCTGAACCGCTAAATTCAAATCAGTCTCAACCCCATCTCCAAAATGGCCACGTTGCACTCTGGCCCTCAGCTGCAACAGGGACATCTGAGAGACCCAACTCCTTTCAAATGCTTTCAGAACTGGAGCGCTGTTCTGTCAGCCGCCCAACAAGCCCAAACCGAACCCACAGTTCTTCCGACGCCGAAGGCCCGGAACGGCCCGACCGGAACTGGGCCTCCCCGGCTTGCAGCGTTCGGGCGCCTTCTCCCCCAAGGTGGCCGATTCCGAGAGCCGCGCGCAGCTGGAGCAGCGGTCCTGGCACCGGGGCTTGAAGCAGGCGACATCGAAGGAGGCCGAGAAAAGGCGCATGTGAGACCGATTCCGGAGCGTAGGAGAGTCCACACACCTCTGGCTGCACACGTTCTGTCTGGTTTTGGGCTCTGGTCCGGGTCCAGTGTGTGAACTCTTGCCTGTCGCTGCTGGTCCAAGCATCCTTAGTCTGGTCAGCCCACCCCACCGTGGATGATGAAGCTATACCCCAAATACCTATATGAAGCATACATGATTCACTACCAAAAAACTGTTCAACCCGTGAGGTGCTTTGCTGAAATGCACTTGAACTTGAACTTGTTGAATTCTAAAGTTGTTAGGGCAGCCCTGTCATGATGCCAAGGAAGAACACGTCACCCTCGATTTCCCCACCAAGGCCCCCCTAACCACAACTGGGGGTAGGAGTCGTGCATTGAAGTTTTATTAGCCAGGGCTCAGAGTTTCTAATGATTCTAGTAGCAAGAAGCTGCTAGTAGCAGGGGCATCGCTACTAGTAACAAAGGAATTACTACTAGTAGCAAGGTACTGTTTGTTCTTAAATGTTCTTTATTTGCTATGTGATGGGTCAATAGATCGGAAAGAGTTGGAGCCCATCAGGTGGGCTTGGTTCTTTGCACCTTCCACTGGAAAGAAGGGGCCTGTGAGCTCCAGAGAGCTCCAAAGCGATAGGGGACAGCTTCCGAGTTCAAGCGAACGAGCCTGGCTTCTGTCCGTGGACCAAAAACAAATTAGTTCTGGTACCAGGCATGGGTCCAGAAGTATCGCCGCTGATTTTCACGGGGCGTTTGCGTGGCTTGATGAACAATATGACATGCTGATCCGGGGCGCGTGGCTTTGGGTCTGGGACATCCTCCTCGCTGATATCCCGTTGCGCATGGGATGCCGTCTTCTCAGACCGGCATGATCCCATATGACCTCCCATATGACCGACACCGGTGAGCGAGATCTCCTGGTGTCGGATCTCCCCGTGAGGTGTCAAGATCGCCTGGTCGTCTGACTCGGTGAGTTCCACCGGGCTCGCAGCTGATGTTGTTAGGGTGCGTTCGGCGAAACCAAGACCTGGACATCCGGACACCAACCTTTAGGGCTCCCAAAAATATGTTTGAACCAACCGTGTTTCTTTCAGGACATCCCTGGGTTTTTATGTTGTTCGGGCAGTTTGAGAGGCATCTTTGTGCTAAGGGCTGGATGTCTATGGCGATTCAGGTTCCAAATCTGGTTTAAACGTAAATGGATGATCTTCTTTAGATCAACTTGTTTCGATTGACTGGTCCCATACGCAATATCCAACAAACACACATATGGAAACAGCAACGCGTTGCCCCACCTGGACCAGTTCTCGTTATGGTCCAAACCTAGCACATGAGAACTTCCACCAGTTCCTCGGTGATCGACGCACAGCTGAACGACATGACATCTGTGTGCAGATCGGTGCAGTGGTCGACCAGGCAGGGCCGGTACAACTTATTTCAGTCAGTTGAGGGACCCAAGGCAGGACGCAACTGAGGAAATTGGTGTGTTGTCTTCATCTCAGCATGACATTGATACATATTGAAGAATCTCTATGTGCAATATACAGGGAACACACATGTCACACATCAATGTACAGATGTGTTCCATGGTTTTTGTGATTACAAAGTGCTCCACCCATGACCCACAAGAACGTGCACCTCCATGCTGCCCATCGTGCGCATCTGCCCACGGCTGTTCCTCAGGTGTCCGCTTCAGCATATGAAACCCCAGCCCCACACGCAATATAATTGAGGGCAAGTCCAACAAGCAACCAAACACACTGAACTCATCCCACCTGCACATCATGACCGAAGAAGCGCAAACAGGAAACATAACTAACATAACAGTGACTTTGCAGGAAGTCGTAAATCTGGGGGTGACTTGGTCTTCGCAGCTGATTTGTTGCGCTCCTGGCCAATGATGGTGTCGCGGTAGTTTCTGCAGTTGGGTGCGCAAATCAAGACGTGTACCTGTATCTGCCCCAGTCGCCCTAGTGCGAGCAGGTGAAAGCCGAGTTTTGCGGGTGAGCCCAACGCCGTGCCCGAAAGACCGCGGATATCTTTCACAGTTGCTGGCCTCCATGATGATGAGGTCGCGGTGGTGGTAGCCACATAAACAAACCAGGGCACCAAAACCAAATGCTCAAACTGGGCGCAGCGGCCATCCCTACACCAAAACATAACCACCCCCAGGGGACAAAGTATGCAGCCACTCACTCAGCACAGCCAAGCAAAGTGACAAAAAGACGTAAAAAGGAAGAACCCGGAGTATCACCAAGACCAAGCCATCACCCTAGACTGGCATATAGCCGTCTGATAGACGTCCCACTGCGAGTCTGGGGAGGACATGGCAGCCTGGCCGTCACTCCCCAGGGGTGTCTAAGGCCTTGACCCGGGGGACAAACAAAGCCCGGCAGCAACGGTCACCGCATTTGCATCCCTGCTTGCACATTCAGCTATCCTTCCCCCTGTCTTGCCGTTTCATCTTGTACCTTGGCTGTGCCTACCAAGCCCAACTAGACCCCCTTCAGATCAGGGATGACACCGTAGGACCCCAAAAACGGGAAACCAAGCCAAGCCACGACCCAACCAGTTCACCCACAACAACGTACGGGTCAGTCACGTTGTTGTTCCCTCCAGACCGGTGGCCAAGGGAAGAGTTGACCCAGGGGGCCAACTCAACGTCCCTTACGCCGAAACCGGCAGGCGTCGCGTGCTCCCGTTCTTCCCAAAGACCAAAGAAACAAACATCGAGAAACCCACCCGGTGAAAACTGGAGAAACGCCGGACCCGCAGGACTGGATTGGGTTCGCTCTTGTCATCCGTAAAGGTTCCAACCTACAACCCAAGATACCGCTTACAAACGAGGTTGCCCCGGTGGCGCCCACGTGGAGGGCTGCATGCATTTTGCTGCACGCATTTTGCCACGTGGAGGGCTGCCATCCACTCCAGATGGGAGTGGGGCGATGGAGTCGGCCAAGGAAAACGGCCCGCCAACAACACAAATGAAAGGGACCTCTGGTCCTGCAAATAAAACTGTTTTGGATTCACAGAGAGAATTCAGAATGAGACTTGCTGGACTGCCTTCGAACGCATCCCACCTGCCATCTTGCTGGAGGGCTTGAAGATGCCACGGTGGAGAATTAGAGAGGCGGACGGCTGTCATGAAGTGTCATGAACCAAGCCTTAATGCTCTAAAGAAGGCTAGCAGGCTAGCTGCAAATTTTTATATATGATTGAAGACAGTGAGAAGGTGAAGAAGGCTACAGAGATGAATGCCAAAACCACCCCCAGGCAGCGCCAACGGCGCTGTTCCAACGTAACGATGGTGTTGGAGAGGCCATCCATTGTGTCGAGCTGCCGCCCCTACAAGACCTTCACCCTCATTACTCATTCCAGTGGTTCGACCCAGCTTGTGTTCCCAACGATGAGGGGTTTCAGATGGTGGGAAGGGGTGATGGAGCGTGCGATGCAGGCTATTAGGCGGCTGCGCGCAGAGACAGATCTGTTTGGAATGCAGGGGGTACTGCAGGCCGTCCTGAGGAACGTATGCAAGATTGGAACAGAAAGCATGGCTTCCAGAGTCAGAGTTTGGGGGGGTGAGAAACGGCGCGAAAGATGGTTATCGTGGATTCAAGCTACTTGTCCTTGACGTGGCATGGGCTCACTCTTTTCCACGCTCCTCGAAACGGAGGGGTATACATATTTTTTAATGAGAGGGGCCCGAACGCCCAAATACGCCCAATGTGACAACTTTCCCTCAAGCCGTCAAGCTCAAAGCTGCAAGCGGCACTCCTGCCGCTTCAGAGTGCTTGACTCTGAACCTTTCCTTCTAATGCTTTTGCTAATTCCAGCCATCCTCCCGTGAATCGGTGCCAGGAAAGAATAATGCCTTAGTCCTTGGTTGGTACTTTTTGGTGTAGCTGGACCAACTCCAAAAAACATCAACGCTGGCCAAAAGCAAGGTGCGCCCTTTTAGTGCACAAGCGGCCTCTGAACTCCGATATTATCATCGGGTGGTTCGTTAAAAAGAAAGTTCTTTTCCCGACTGGCCTGCCCGACGGGCTGGTCAGGCCGTAGCAACATTGGTCGAACGCCATGCCTTGACGTCAATTCGAAGACAAAGCGTGGGACCCTGCCGGGTGCTCGAAGACGAAGGATTGCTTCACCAACAAAGTGACAAACATCCATGGCAATCCGCAAACGTTTTCCGACTGCGCCAGGACATCCGAGGCCAATGCGTTTGCGCCGCTGAACAGCGGGCAAGGCGGGGCAACAAAAAGGGCAGCTGCTTTGCAGGCCTTGGAGGAGACCCTCCACCGCCTTCTGGCGTGCCGAGCAAGATTGGGGCAAGCAAATTGGGGAGGAAGCTCATGAAGGTTTCGCACGATGGGCTCTGGCTGCACACAAATTCCCGCCTGGTGTAGTTCAACCATCTTGGTCATAGGACTCGCACACCAGAAATTGGCCATCCATTCTGGTCCTGTTCCTATTGCAACTCACAGACTGGATTGGACTCTGCGAATCCAAACTCGTCATGGAGCCTCCTTGCAGAATCGGGTGAGATGAGCAACCTTACAAACTCCAGCACCATTCAGACTCACAGGGGGGCACCCTGAAGATTCTCACCACGACCCCCGTTGAGCCTATTCGCGGGAGGGGATTGACCATCCATGCTGCCCAATCCATGCCGGGATGGCCCAGCATTCATTTCAGTTGGTTTTAGAAGGATTGAATCAACCAAAATGGTCAGTCTCTCAAAAGTTGCATGAATCAAGCAACGAATGGAACCAACGATTCCCATTGTTCAGAATCTGATTCTGCCTTTGGCTGGTGATCTCTTTGATTGGATGAGGCCTTTCCAACATCAACCAGATTTTGGTGAGGTTGCTCCAACTTTGTTGGAAAGCCACGGACATCATCCCTACAGTGATTCCTTTTGGATGGCAACCAAACCAACCATCCTACCAACCAACCATCCTAAGCCATCCGAGCTACTGCTTGCAGCAACAGTTGATGGAGCAGTTTCCGGGTTTCCTAAACTCCCGGTCTGCAGCGTCAGCACAATTTCTTTGTAACCACCTGCAAGTTCGGAGCAATGTTCAAGCGCATCAGTACTAGATTCCCCAAACGGCCACACTTGCCAGGAGGTACTTTAAGTTCACCAGCTAAAACAACGCGCATAAAACATGGTGTGCCACTTAACCAAGCTGCCATGTTTCACCTGGGCGCCCGGGCGGGCCCTGTCCACCCGGCAAGCTGCCATGCTGCTTCTTCCAAGCATCCGCCTTTTCCGACCACGGGTTTGGCGGTGAGCACGAGCTCTTTAGATCCATAGCTTGAGAGCTGGGAAGCTAGTAGGTAACGGCCTCCACCAGCCTCCACCCTAGTAGGTAGTGGCCTCCACCAGCCTCCATCCTAGTAGGTAATGGCCTCCACCAGCCTCCATTCTAGTAGATAATGGCCTCCACCAGCCTCCACTCTAGTAGATAATGGCCTCCGGCCTCCACCAGCCTACGTTCTAGTAGGTAATGGCCTTCACCAGCCTCCACCCTATTAGGTAATGGCCTCCACCAGCCTCCATTCTAGTAGGTAATGGCCTCCACCAGCCTCCACCCTAGTAGGTAATGGCCTCCACCACCCTCCACCGTAGTAGGTAATGACCTCCTCCACCCTAGTAGCGATGGCCTCCAACCTACTAGCTTCTTGTTCCATGTGATCAATGTTTCAACGTTCCATAGCCCTGACGTGAAGAACCATGAAGGGCTGACGTGAAGAACGTAGCTTGATCTGGTTTTGCTGGGCACTCACTGGCTTTGACCTTCAGTTCTTCCCCCAAATATCCCAACATCAGAATTGCAAATACCTGTCCTCTTGAGAAGTTGACAAATACAACTTCAGCCATCAGGATAGGCTCGGATCTTCTAGACTCACGGCTCATGTCCTTCAAACAACTCCTCATCTCTACGCTCCCATCTTCCTCTCCGTCCTTTCCTCTAAAAAGAACAAAGAACCCCTATTCAGCCCCCGCACCGCCGGGGCGGGACCTCCTCCCTGGACCACCTTTCCCCCCTTTCGGGGCGCATCGGACTTCGGGGCGCCCCGACGGCGTCAGCGGAGACCCAGCCGGAGAGGTTGATCTCCTTGCAGTGCGTGGAGCCTCCGTGGCGCGGAGCTCGATGATGAGAGTCCGAGAGGTACCCGGCAAATCGACGGGGAACACATCCACCGGCATGAGTTCCCAAAGCTGGTTCAGGGCCTCCTCATGAGAATCCGCACTTGTCCTCTCAGTGGATCAACGAGTGTTCAGGACACCGTCCCTCACACTCCAGTCACCAAGGAAAACACAGTGAAGCATCAGCGGCAGCCAACCTGTGTGGTCCTACACATGCAGCCACCTGCCCCACAAACCTCACATGGCTGGGACTCAGTGAAGTCTAGTGAACGTGACCCATCATTATCGAAAAAACTCTAGAGCTCACATTGTAGGTCCCAGCATCACTCAGGGCAGTCACAACCAAGTTGACCAGGTGCTTTAATAAACCGGGTCTTGCTACAAAAGCCTAAAGATGTCTTTGAGTTCACCTTCCGTCTTCCGACATTTCATCACAGTTGAAGGGGCTTCCCAAACGCCAAGCAACATGAAACACCTTCCATTCATCAAAGGGTACGTTCAACTTACCCAGCTTCACGTGAGCCAGCTGCATCTGGCCAGCTCTTTTGCCAGTGCCGCTGGGGTAGCACTCATGTGAACATCCTTACGCTCCTCACAAGAGCTGTTCCAGTATATGACTTGGCCCCTCTAATTCTTGGGATTTCTGCACTATGGTGCTAACTGCAGATATGTGCGAGTTGGCGGGTGTTTTTGGTTCTTTCTACCGAAACATGTGAAATGAAAAGGGCGGGAATTAGTTTGGACGTCCAGAGTCCCCCCCAAAAATATGTTGAAACCCTCACAGTCCACCTCGTCTGAGTATCTTTCCTTGGAATCATCGCAGAACAGGTGCACTTGGTTGACAACTCTGCCCAAAAGTGGCTATTCTGGGTTCCATGTCTGAAACGCAGAAAGCAACCAAACAAGCGGGCATCATGTACACCTAAATGGTGTATTGCAGCTCAAAAATACCGTGCTTGTTACCCCATTGAACAACTAAAGACCATCCATCCCCCCCGATTGCACCTGAGAGCCGTGGGAAAAAGCAGTTCACGTTGGCCACCAGGCCTAGTGCGCTTTGGTTGGCATGTTGAACCACTGGTGTATGTGGAATTGGGGGGCCAACTCCGTATGGTGCTTGGTCTGTGCAGACTGTTTTTTTCAGGAATCCTGTTCACCTCATCTACATCTGCCGTTCTCAGCCAACTCCTTTGGGAATAGATTGAACTTTTGAGACTCTTGGAACAACAAACTACAGGTGGCAGGTGGATCCACTAGATCGTTTTGACAGGTTGTAGTTTCTTTCATGCGTGAGTGTTGAAGCCCCATACTGGTGATGCAACTACAGCTGTGAGAAATTCATCTTGCTCACAGCTCATGTAGCCCACAGAAGTACGCCCTGTGACTGGACGAAAGTACGCCCCCCCAAACAAACATGTGCATAACATACACCTGTTCCATTCTGCCCCTGTGCGATGGATGTGGAAACCTTTCGGATCGATACGTGGGCGATGGATGTGCATCTCCAAAGATCCCAGATCTGCAGGAACTAGATGTCACCGTGAAAAGCACGCGATGGAGCTTTTCCAAAGCGGATCTTGTGGTTCAGAGAAAGCCCATGGACATGACAGCAACTTGGCCATTCATCCACACCATTCAGTGCACTCATCTTGAGTCGGAAATTCTGCACCAGAAGGTCGATTGACCTAGAAACATCACATGTTGACAAAACATAGATCCAAACATGTATCAAACTAATAATAGCGATAGCCTCCAACCTAGAAGCGATGGCCTCCATACATGTTACAAATTAATAATATCATAGACTCGTAGATCACAACTGCAAAACAAAAAAACTCTCCTTTGCCCCACCTTCGCTTTGCGCTTCCTTCGTTTTTCTGGACACACGCTACCGGTTTTGGCGGCCAAACCCATCCAACCCCACGGGGTGTCAGGTCCGTTTGCTTCACAGCATGACCCCCAACTCATGGAACCTCCGCCAACTTGTGGGACCCAACCGGGTCCGTTTGACCCGTTTACCGGGTGGTCAAAAAGGGCCCCGAGATGACGTCCGACAGATGCTGGCCTCCAGCGGTCGTATCTTTGCACCTCATTCGGTGCCGTGGAAAGATGCTTTTGGCGCAAACTCTTAGTACGATTGATCTATGGATTGAGTATTTCCGCGGCGGAAACGAGGAAACGGTAGGTGCTGGACGAAGCAGCTTGGCACCTGTTCCTGCCTCATCACTGGATGAATTGGATTCAGCGCCAAGTTTCCCGCTTCAGGTTTTGCAGGGCTTTGTTTGTAGATAATTTTCCATCAAGTACCACTAAGTACCACTTTCGAGCAACCCATGGAGCGGGTCCTGGGAAATCATATCTACTTCCCTCCAGTAGTCTACTGGTGCGGAGTAAGGATACTTTCATGGTACTCTTCCCCCCCAGCTACAAGGGGATGTGACCTACCTATATATCCTGCTACTTCGCAACAGCTGCTCAGCAGACGGCTCTACTCCGCAACTACTCTACTTGACCTAGATCCATCCCAAACATAGCTTCCCCTCATTCCTAGCAAATATCCACAAAAACCATGAAAAACCGGCATCCGCGATCCGTGAGCGTGCGCGTGACTTGGACTTCTGCTTTGGACCGCTCGGATGGCGGGGCTGCAAGCTGCGGCGCTCCAACACGCGAAGCTCCCCCGGCGCCAACGTTCAGGAGCTGTTGCCACGAAGGGTTGGATTTGGGCAAAGTCGAATTCTTGGGGCTAAAGAAGGATCTTGGCCCAATTTCCCCGCCAACATTGTGGCATGGATCCCCCAAGAACCTCGTTCAAAACGATTCAACACCAACTTTGATTGAATCCATCAAACTGCCAACATGATTTGTATTCTTGGAAGTTGCTGCGAAAGACAAACACGGGGGGAAAAGAGACTGTTCTGGAGAATGGCAGCTGCTGATGAGCTACGGCACAGCAACCAGCTGTAGTTGCCCCGTGCCCAGGAACTACCGGAAAGACCCCCCAAATCATTGGTATTGTGCAAGATTCAATTTGTTTCGACATCCTCAACCAGTTCCTCACCTGCCCTCGAATGAGCAAGCAAATCCATGAATGCAATAGGCAAGTTTCTCTTCTGGTGGTTCAGCGTATTCATCTCGGCAGAGCCCAAGACCGGCAGCCGCCCGCGCGAGTCGATCTGCGCCGAGGTGCTTCAGCCACATGTCCCGGACCTGGAAACGGTCGACGGAGGGTGCGTCCTCCTGCACCACCAACCACTTGCACCTGCAACCCACCAAAGACATCCTTCACCACCTGATCCATTGACATCCTTCACCACCTGTAACCCACCAAAGAACGTTAAATGGATTGGAGGCCTTCGCTAGTACGAGGCCATCGCGATGTTTCCTGTCTCAGGTGGCGCAGCATTTCGGGTCTCTGAGGAAGACCTACATAGACCCGTGAGCCGCCCTCAAAGTGGTATATCCTTAAGACCAACGTGGAGTTTCCAACGACTTCTTGCATTCTCTGGGGACCTGGAGGGGGAATCGCTTGAGCTCTTTTAGTTCCCAGTCGACTAAGTCTACTCGGACTGTTGCGGACGGCAATCTCAGTGAAACGGAGATGACCTCACTCTAACGTGCCTCAACTAGTCCTTCTTGGGCGCCAGGGGCGAGAGAGCCCCTGCGCCGAAGTGACCGGCCGCTTCCCCACGAAAAAAACGCAACTCATTCAGGACCAAATCGCTAAGCTCCCAAGACCAGGGGAACCAAACCGCAGGCTGAAAGATGTGAATCCCACAACAACACAAATCAACATGGTCCTGAACAAAAGGGAATCCCAAACCTGTACTCCATGCCTGGAGCAATCCTCTAAAGACATGGAGATCTCCAGCCAACGTCTGTGGCAAGTAGCCGTGGAACCGCAATGCAAGCGAAAAGCGGCAAAAAACTCAAGATGCGAAACGAAGGTTTCACAGTCAGCACGTCCCTCTATAGACAGGGCCCAAGTGGTCAACCTATCCAAGGACGAAAAACTGATATCAAAATCCCGTGCAATTCTATGGATCCAGTCTGGTGCAAGATCCTCACAGGTGTCACTCAAGAAGTTGGTCAGGAGTTCAAAGTGACGCTCATCCAAAACAAATAAAGCACCACAATCCTCTTCTTCTATTCGCTCTTCTGCCGGGGACAAGTCAAACTCAGCAATGGCCAAATGAAATTGGTGACAAGGTCTGTCTGCCTGCGCCAACTGGCTGCAAATGGAGTCCAAATCTGCCAGAACCAAGCCGGGCGTTCAGCATTGATTTGCACTGCGGCCTGATCAACCAGGCCGTTTTCACGTGTTGCCCACTCGGCCAAAGGATCAGTAGCAAACGAGGGATCCTCGTGCGAAGGTACTTTATGTAAGCGAAGCAGCCCCTTGAAGCAAGTCATTGCCTTCCAGGCTCGACTCCAGATGTCTGCGTTGTCAACTGAAGGATCAAAAGCAACCAATGCTTGCGTGGTACGAGTGCGACATAGGAGCTGTCACTCCATACATGCAGTTCTCCTCGAAAGTCAGCAGGCAGCCCACAACAGAACCTGTAGCAAGGCTCAACACTCTGCGCGGTTGATTGTCTGTCGCAATCCTGGAAGCCAGCCACTGGAAACCGTGCAGCTTTTCTAAAGCCCAGGAGGCCAGCGAGCAGCAACCATTTTGTGTGCAAGAACCATCAGTGAAGATGTTGATGACTCCAGCACAAGGTGCATCGAAATCCGGAATCAAGCTGTTTCATGAAGCTTATCAAGGGCTCTCCACGCATCACATCGCAAGGCAGCAGCCGAAGGCCAATGTCGAACTAACGACTCGAAAGGCAAGCGAACTGCAGCATATTGACAAGGTCGAAGCCTATGCTCAGCAGTGTCTAGTTCACCACAGGTTACACAAAACTTCGGAACCTTAGGATCAAATTTGGACAAGTGGCATCCATCAGAGAAACCACCATCCCGCACAATGTTCAGGAGCTCAATTTGCCTGGGTCCAGTCCTTGCATGGTTGGCAGCAACGACAATGTCATGCTCATAGCCTGCCAGATCCACATAGCCAGCTCGAGAGGTCAAGGTGCCACAAAGCAAGATCTTTAAGCAAAGCGCCGGGAGAGCTCAGAAAAGGAATGCAAAGATCCCACAAGATCCACAGGTTCAAATTGCTATCCGACCTCCAGCCCAATTGACTAATCTGCTCGCGCAACTTGGCAAACGGTCCACAACCTGCTGGCTCAGCTTCAGTCAAGGCCTCAGAAAAACGAGTCCAGAGCTGAGAAAGATGATCAAAGCGTAGGAATTGCCTCCTCGCCAATGAAAGCACTCTCCAAAGCTGAAAGAAGCCTGGGTCCAAGGAACCCATATGCAGAAGATTGAGCCGGACAACCTGACTTGCGCCCGCCCCCTGCCATTTCATCGCTTGCGTGGTCTGACTGCCCAATGCTCCAAAGTGATGAGTGCCCAACCAGACACTCTCACAGCCATGTAGTGCACTGGGAAACAATGAGCCATGGATGCACCAGGCTTTTTGCATTGAAGATAGGCAAGAGCGTCGAAATGCCGCCAGACCACATGGAAGACCCTTGATCCTGGAGACCACAACATGATTGCGCAGCGCTCTTCCATAGTTGACCTGCCCTCCATGCTGGGTAACCCGAAAACCTTGACTTCTAAGAAACTGGCGTCCTGTTGAGGAGGAAGACCAAGCAATCAGTTTGGGCTCATCCAATTCGACATCCATGATGTGACACCCACGCAGAATGTGAACACCATGAACCACAGCTCTCGCAGTAGAGCCTAGGTGGAGCCTAGGATCTCTAAGTTGTCGACGTACGACAAAGGTCTGCTGATGTGGGAAAACTGCCTCTGATACAGGCGCCGCACAATATTGACCAACGCACGATAAAGGGCAGCCCTCAGCAAAGCCAGTGACATTAAAGATAGGTGGTCCACAGCTATCGTGAACGGTGAATCTTCGGCTCAGGCCCGACTGGAATCGTCTCCAGCAGTCAATGAAAGAAGGCTGATGTGAAAGATCGGCAAATGAGGAAGGAGATTGAATGCCTTCACCAAATCACCAACAGCTCCATGAATCTCGCCTCCAGTAAGGAGGTGAACCTCAATCAATGTTTGCACATGATACCAGATATCACTGGCCTCACGGCCATGCGCATATCCACATTGGAGCTCATCGCCAAATCTGGACAGGTATGCCAGAAGCTGCCTCGATCGATGCCCTGACCACAGGCGATAGAGTTGGGGGCCTTCTCAAGACACCTCACCAGCGCCGTTTGCCATTGAAGTGGCCAATCAATACCGTGCTCAATGCCCTCTAGCAGCATGAACAAGTCCCCCACCGCGTGCTCAGGAAGCATAGCAACGTCAATTCTAGCCCAACCATCAGGCCCAGTGGCGGTCCTCTCCTTGAAGTTGCGGACGCCAGAAGTCCAATCTGCCAGGCTCCATGAAGGCAAAACATAGTGTCCTTGAGGCATATAAGCATCAGCAAAGGCAATGGATCACATAGTCTTTGGTGTATATCAGCAATATTTGCAATCAGGCAGTGACACGCCAATTTGCCCCCGGGAGTACAAGCCCGTCAGAATCGACGCGAAAGCGCTCACCCACCAGCGTGACACTCACGGGCAAACCATTCAGCGTCCAGTAGAGAACAGACTTCTCAGCACAAGAAATGTCTGCAGCAACTGAACAATCTCTGGGGTCTACGCTCATGATTGGAGCCTCCAGCACATCCACCAGTGTCTCCAAAGGAGCTCGGAAAGAGTCTCTGACAGTCTGATAGGTACGGGCAATTGACGCATCCAATTTTGTCTGGTCCTGATTCCATCGCTCGAAGGCCCGATAATTTGCAGCATCGTCTTCAAACATATTTTCAATTATTGCAACAGAAGGAACAAGGTCCGGAAGACGATCAGGTGCGCCCTGGAATTTTTTCACACGGCCCTCCCACCATTTGCAGAAGTTCGGACGAAAACCTTTGGCAGCACGAATCTGATTCCAGGTTTAAACCTGTGTCCTATAGATGCGCGAGGCGACCGAGTCAGAATTCTTTCTGAGAGTATGCAGCAAGGATGGGAATCTCCTCAATTGCTTCCACAAACATTGCACAGCCCTTCCAAGAAAGCTTGATAGAATCATCTGCTCACCATTTCTGCTTCCCTTAGGAATGCCCGGAGAAAACGAACGAGGAACAGGACAGGTGGTGGCACAACGCCCACAGCTTCTGGAAAGGCCACGATCACCCGTGGTGACGGCATTAAGAACGGTGGTTTCAATTCACTACACCTTCGCTCCAAATCACAAGTGCTATCATCACTCCATGAGAAAGGTTGTCTGGAGGCCCACATCCTATTCAGAGAAGTTCGATCAACATGATCCCATGGCAGCTTGTCAGGAATCCTCCAATGCAACTGTTTCTCCAAAGCACCAGGGAATTGCAATTTCGCAGCCAGCACCAAATGATCTGGAAAAAGATCAGCAAAGCCAACATGGCAAATCAGTCTTTGTGCCTCCGGACTAAGCCAAATCTGATCAGGCGCCGTCGAACCTTTGCAAGTGGGTCGCGCTGGGAGACCAAATCGGCGACTCATCAGAACCTGAAGCTCCCAACCACTAAGCCTCCAGACACGGAAAGCATGAATGCCATCACATGTGTTGTTGAAGTCACCCACAACCATTCGAACACCCTCTCTGCCCAGAATTAGCTTGGAGGTAATCGGATGCAGCAGTTCTTCCGCCAGTCGCCCCGCCTCAGGAAAGGTAGGACCACGAGGTGGCAAATACACTGTTGCAACAGTGACGTCAAAGGCGGAGACCCTAAACACAGCCATCACGACCCGACCACTCTCCCATACATTCATAGGCCAATCAAGACAGACTCGTTGCGGAGGTCTATCAACGAATTGTAGGACTCCTGTCCAGGTGCCAGCAGCACAACCCCCCTGTCCAGAGTGGAGCTGGTGCGCCAGCTAGAACACGAAAGGAGCAAGCATCATCGTCTCGTCTCCTCATCACACTGCTAAAGGATTTCAACTGATGTTCCGCAGCTTGCGACTCAGCCACTGACCACCAGCCTGAAGGAAATTGCTTGATGAGATCGTATTTTCCCGCGATCCCACTAGGATTCAAGGTCCCAACCATCAGTGCTGCCTCCGAAGCATCATCCGAAAGCTGCCAGGCGAGCCCCGAGAATAGGTCTCAACAAGCGAAGGGTTCTGACGCAAGAAGTGCGCAGCAGTGCCTCCAGGATCAGATCCAAGGTCCCAGACCACAGGAGATGTTGCTGACAAGTTCTTGGAACTTCTGCCAAGCGTAGCCATGCTGCACGTTCGTTGGTGTCCAAGGGATGAAGCTCCGCTTGAAGGCCTTCCTCAAGTGTCTGCCCGCGTAGAGTTCGCGTTCCAGGCCATGTAGTGACAACCTTGCAGCGTGATGTGCAAGTGCCACAACCTCAAGTGGCTTGCCACGAACGTTCCAGTCGGGTTCTTGGACACCTGCGAAGACTGCCCGTTCAGTAGCACCATCAAGTGCAGAGCCAAGCTTCAGTAGGCTCTCAGCTCCAGTGCTTCAGCCCTAGCGATCACATGGGCTTCAGGCTTGTTGAAGTGCTTGGCCAAGGTCTTCCCAAGTGTGCTGAAGGTGACCTTGAACCGCATCCGGATGCCAAAGAACAGTCCGTCTCTTGGAGTGCATCCAAGTACCTTCTTTCGTCCATCCAAGTAGAGAGTCGACTAAGTCGACTAACACAACACCTGCTTTGTTGTCAACGCTGCATCGAACAATGGTGTGTACAGGCGCTTGGGTCCACTGTTAGTTAGACCAACCCCTGGGACTACTGGCGCAAATACCACCACGTGAGCCCACAAGTAGGGTGAACCAATCCTTCAGGAATGGGCTGCCACATGTCCCAGTGATTCTTTGAGAGTGAGGCAATGAAACCGAAATCCAGGTCGTTTGTGTCTTACGCCTGAGCAAGTCACCTTATCCTTGAGATCGCATGCACCAGAGTGGGATTCTCAAGATCACTCGATACGACTCCAGGTCCACTGTCCATCCACACAACTTCTCATTCGTGCGATCAAAGAGCAGTATTTCCTCCCTGGCAATTCAGACTTCACCATGGTGCATCGCCCAAAAACGCCCCAAAACGCATGCCGCAGTGGCGGCTTTTCGTTGGCGCCCCACCCCTTTGCATGAGCTGCAGCTCGCTTCATCGGCGAGGGGCGGTGTTCTGCTGCAGCTGCAAATCCCGCTGGCCCTCCGCGTGCGAGGGGTCCAGGTGCCTCCCGGGCGTCGGGTACAGGTGCCGGAGGGGGCTCTGAGGGTTCCAGTTGTGTGGAGCCTCTTCTGCAAGTACCCAGCTGCTTGGCTCGAAAAATCGGATACCTCAGATTCATGGGATTTGCCCATGAACCATTTTGGGGAGGCCTTAGGGATCTGTTCTTGAGCACCACCCATCTGGATGTGGTTCAACAAAAAAATTGAGAACCCCACTGCACTGCTTCGAGTTCCATAAAATTTGGGGTCTTCCCAATGGTGTTAGTCTCCAGGAGGATTGAACCTACTGCTGGGAAAACAAACCTCAACCGCTACTGTTTCGTGCTACTGTGGAAGTACATCACGGGGGGAAAGGCTAAACCACATCGAACATGGCGACTCGACTTTGGACTCGACCGCAGTGGTTGCGGAAGTGACTCAAGAAGAGTAAGCTGAAAAGTTGGTTCACTCAACGGACTTGAACGCCCATCCCTCGTCTTGTTTTAGAAAAGCGGGAATGCCTTTCGTTTTGACCTGCATGACCCATCCAAAACGCCACAAGAACCTCCTCCGTGAACGAAGGTCATGTTTAAGGTCAGTTTAATTAACATGGAACCTGAAAGTTGACCCGTGGAAGATGATTCTCCTCTGCAAGATCAGCCTTTTCAGGTTCTGGGAAGACTCTGCAGGCAGGACACCCCATGAGTCTTCAGCTTTTCGCTGTGCCACAACACCAGGCGTTCTGGGGATGATGATGGCCAAATGATGATAGCCAATAGAGCACGCATGTGATTGTTCCTAAGCATTTCTTTGAACTGTAAAACCTGAAAACCACACATGATATTGCTGCTAACACCATCTAACACCTCAGATCCGTGAACATCTCCTTGGTTTGAAAGCTCTGAAGCGGTTGAGCGTTCTCTGCGCGCTTTCGTGTGCACCGCCTTACGACGAAACCCCACGGCGTTCGGACGGGCTGGGCGTCCCGGCCGGACGCTGCACACGAAGTGGTGCGGACCCACTTTGGACTTCAGGGCCTCCTTGGGCGCGTAGTAGGCCGCCACACCTGCAGGAGAGGTCGTGTTTTCAAAGGAAGAGACGGCGGTGTGAATTTGGCTATGCCTATACTGTTATACTTACATAAAACAAAACATGATATTATGTATTGTACAGAAATTGTGAATGTCCGGTACAAGCAGCACTGTGCACGACTGTGCAGGTGGTATGGTGCAGTGCCCGGCATCAGACTCCATCTCAATGTGTGAGCTGCCGTCCCCCCAGCAAACGGTGGGATGTGTGAGGAGGGGCCTGTTTGGCTGAAAGAAGGGGCGATGGAGAACCACCTTGGACACGCATGTCAGGCTTATCAAGTAAGTAGTGCCACTGCTACTCTGGCAAGTGCTACTCACAAAGAAATTAAAGGGATGAATGACATCTGTGTCTCTGGGATGGTCCCAGCACCTCCCCACACATGGCTCGCAAATATGAACTAGCGTCCCAGCAGGGTGGAACATTCCTGACGGAAGATCCTTTCCCTGGAGACCTGCTTGGACGAAAACGTTTGCTTCCCACCTTCTTCAGGGAACCCCCCTACGTTCCCCCCCGGCCTACGTCCACGTCTTCGCCCAGCTCAAAGAAGGGCAGCCAGGGGGCGTAGAACTGGAGCTCCTGGAGCGAGCGGAGAAGGGTCGTCGTCACGGTCGCAAGAGAACTGTTGATGGGGTCACCAGGGTCCTGCTACGTTCGTTAGCTTCTTGCTACTAGTAGTAATGGCCTCCAGCCGAATAGCGATGGCCTCCAACCTACTAGCTTCTTGCTACCAGACCATCTGGTTGAACCTTGCTTATCTGTATTCCCAGAATCGCCATAGAACTCTGTGTGGAATCGGCGTCGATTCTGGTGGAGCTTCAGAGACTGGATGAACCGCCTACTGCACTTAAGGCATTCTTTAAAAACACTTCTTCGTTGGACCGGGTTCAGCAATCCCTCTGAAACATCCTCGCAACGCCTCGAGCAAGCGCAAAGCAACATTATCTTCATATCTCTTGATTCATATCGGAAACAAGGACGACAACATAAAAGCAGCAAGCTCTGGGAAGGCAGGGCAGCTCTGACCATAGAGGGGCACACCTGGATATTTGGGGGAACCCGTGCAAGTAGCGAATAGTAGAGACACCGCACAAGTTCCGCCGCAATCATTTAAGTTCATACTAGGACTTGGGGGGGCTATTCCAGCACAATCATTCATCGTAAGCTGCTAGCGTTCCACTTCCAAGTTGTTCATGGAGGTTTCAGGTTTTCCGGCTGGCGATGTCAAAGGTACACCGCTTCCAAAAAACGCCTGTCCATACCAAACACGATTTTTCCACAGTCCCCCTAAAAAAGATGTAGCAACAGCTGCAAAGTAGCTGATTTATGCTGAATTCCCTTCTGCTCAGGCCATGAGCGAAATGCCATAATTGGACTTCGGGGAGAATGAACTCACACGCAGGAAGGAGGGATCGCTTCCTACTCCTACCTGGATTCCACTCCTTGCTTGACCAACGGGCATTTCCCTGGCTACGCTGATGCCGACGCTTGCCCCTGGCGCAAGCGCTTGCCGCGGACGGCGCTCGGACGGCGCTGGCTCGCCTGGGGCATCACGCCGTTGATGAGCATTTTGAAGAGCCCCTGGCCCACCTCCGCCCGGACGGAGCGCCCGCCGTAGAACGGACGGTGCAGTTTCACGGAGGAGGCACAAGACGGCTGAGTTGCAATGCGAAAGGGATAACAAAAGGGACGATGCAATGTAACAGGGACTGAATGATCAACAAACAATATGTATATAATACTATAAATTGTTGTGAACTAATGGCACCACCACTCCTGTTTTTGTTATTTTTTGGTAATCCAGGTGGGTGAGGTTTTTCCGGTGGCGCCTGCCAAATCATGGCACCCAAGACCAAGTAGAACATCTCCCAAGCTGATCGCCTCAGCGTTTCAACGGCCACCGCGGCGGCACGGCGGCACTTGCTGAAAACGAGCGCACGCGACGCGCACACGGCGCGTCACAAGAGAGCTAAAAGCTGCTCTCCTGCCTGTGTCCGAGCCCCCCATTGCGATCAAATCTCGGAATCAGTCTGTGTAGGAAAGCCTGGAAGACTCTTGGTAGCCTGGCCCCTGGCGGTCTGGCAGCTGCAGCATTTTCCACAGATTTGACTTCGCCAGGGCCTTCAGCTGACTATATGATTTCTTGTCTCGTTCATGTTGACATCTGGCCAAACCTGGCCTCATTGTGCCTATGCTATTTGAACCGGTCTCTCAATTCCACTGGCACATATCGCTCAGCATGGCAAAGGCCAACGCGAAAGGTCAACGCTCCAGGGCATTTCACGATGAAATGCCCCAGGATGCTTGGTTGAAAGGCCTGCTCGAAGTCATGTCGCACACGAGTCTTCTTCGCTCCTGAGATCATGTCGCGAGGGTTGAATCGCCTGCACCGATGCGCGCAGGGCTGGATAATCACCACGGATGATTTGCCCGGCAAGAATGCCCCAGTCTCCTCATTCATCCAGCCTTCACATGCGGGTTGCCCTTTTGAATCATCCAGGGGATGTCTGCACGTCAACGAACATCTCCTCAACATGAACAACGCCCATGTCACCCTCTTTGCAAGCGATCTAAGCATGAGATGAGATTCAAGGTAATTCAATGAAACGTAGGTCCACACCCCAGGACTTAAGAGACTTCAAGATGAAACAAAGACCTGCTTCTCTTTTTCACTCCTGTGAAGGCGCAGGTGCAGTTGAACTCCTGCCCTTCGGTTTGGGGGGGCTGTCAAGATGCTTGGTGTGGGTGGTCTGGAGAGGCTCCAGACCACCCCGTGCATCACCTCTTGTGCCCGTCGAGTCACAACGAAACACGGACGAAACGCGTCGAGTCTCGCCTCAACGATCTAACGAAAGCCGTGTTCCAACTGACCGGGGCGACGTGTTGTTTTGGGTCACATCCCATCCTTAGCCTTGGTCTTCAAGACAAACCCCCGACCTGGCCTTACCAAGGTCACCACAGTGACTGGAGTTTCACAGATTGATCTATGACCCCCTGCCAAACCTGTCTGTATGACCAAACCGTCTCCATCTCGCCCAAGTGGCACAGCAATCCGCTGCACAGGCAGTTCACCCTCACAGGGGCGCTGATCCGACGACTCGGCGAATCGGGGGGGCGATCGGTGACCTGGGATGCCGATTTGGCGAGCTCCACCGATAACTCTAAGAACTGTATGACATAAACATACATAAACACTGTCCTAAAAACAGTCGTTGGGTTCCCCACCTTGAAACACGTTCAAGTGATTCTTTTCCTGTGGTAATTTCTAGGTCCCCCATCAGAATCTAGCCCGCTGTAACTGGAAAAGACTCTTGCAGCTGGTAACTGTTGTGGTTGGTCGTAGCTGGACTGCTTCTGATCACTGCAAGGAGGCCTGCAGAAAAATCATAGCCATACTCCAGTGAGTAGTAACAAGGTGCCTTACTAGTAGTAGCAAGAAGCTAGCAGTAACAGGTGCATCGCTACTAGTAACACGGGTATTACTACTAGTAGCAAGAAGCTAAGTAGTCGTAAGTCAACCACTCGAGTTGGCTCAGGTCTGAGGGCCCGCACCAGCTTGCCGCTCTTCTGCAAGCTCTGTAGCACGGCGATGTGCCTGGCAGCGGTTGACCGCCAAGTGTCATACCCAGTGGGTTACATCCGCCCTCAAGGAGATACAACTGCACATCATCCTTTGTGTCAGATCACCAGTTGGAAGTATCTTGGTTTGGGCTGCAAGCTCTCATGCCTCTGACCTTCCAAATTGCACACCTTCTGCATGAAACCGCTCACCCTGTTTGCTTGCCCTCTCTGGCTTCTTCACTGTTTAAAGTGTGCGCTGGTGGGTGCAGCTGGATCAAAAGGCCATCCAAATTAGTGTCTTTCTCTATTATGTAGTATTGCATAAACTAGTTCTTAATTACACTGGTCGGAGGGGATAGGAGAAATGACGTGGACTTCCACAACCCGCACAAAAGCCGGCAAGGCATTGCAGGTCATCAATGAACAAGCATCGAAACACGACCGGCCTATTTTTAGGTATTCAACTGGGCTTCCACCAGCCAAATGATAAAGCGCACAAACAGGGTTGGAATTTAACACCAACCACATATACATGTAGTTTATCACCAATGTAGTTTATCACCAACCACATATAACTTATCACCATCCCGAAAATGTATGCAGTCAACACTGACGTCAAAAAAATGCTCCAGTTACGAGAATTGATCCACTCAAGGTCAGCCTGGAGCGAGTCAGGGCACCTCGCGTGCGTTCCCGCCCCACGGCAGCGAGTCAAGCGTTGCCTCTGCCCTAAGGTGCCGATCAATGCGAACCAGGACAGCCAAGCCAGCCTGGGGTGGACAGTTCGAAGAGCGGGAGAAGGTTCCGGATGGTTCAGTCCAATAAAAACCTTGGGGTTTGCTGCAACTTTGCATGTCCAGCATGTCGAGGTCAAACATGGTAAAACACACCAGGTGAACCATCAAAACACTGCTTGCAACACCCTTGTGGGAACCCGACCCGACTCGGTGAACCCGAGAGTCTACGAACGCAGGCCACCGTGGGGGAAGGCATGTGGAGGACCAGGTGGACCCGAGAAAACGATGGGATGCTTCCGGACAATTGTGGTTTCCGAGAACAGTCGTTTCGTTTTGGCAGTGTCCGTTTTCACCATGATCTGAACATCAAATCAAAGATTACCAAAGCAGTCAAAAACCTTCATGATTGGTTGCTTGAAGGTAGTAAGTGGCCGAGCGCATGAAAGGAACCTAGAATACTCCGGATTTGTCATGGGGCAAGCAGCAGGAGACTGAACCGACCGAACCCTACAAACATGGCAGCCGAACCCTCCTTGGGTTGGACATCGCGGCAGCCACTCAGGACCGTCACCGGTCGTTGTGACGAGTGGCCAGCGCCAGCCACTCCAGCCAGAGCGTAGCCCCACCGCCACGCTCAGCATCACTGCAACGGAACGCGAGGCCCTCAGTGCGGCACAAGCGGCACGAAGCGTCCCCAAACTAGAAGGGATGAGGGGGAAAGCAAGAGAATCGGTGCAATCGTAGGGGGATTCGATAGGATCAAGCCAGTGGGTGGGTATTTTGAGAGGGAGACGACCCTCGATCGCCCCGATCGGGGTAGACTTCCAAAAGGTCGGAAAGCCTGGGAGGTGTCCCTGTTTTTAATACGCATCCATGGAATGCATGGGAAATGTTCAGAACTGTCTCGATTGGGATGCTTGTCTTTAAATGTTGTTTTCTATTCCGACCCAGGGACATGTTGAGGTGGTTTGGGGAGTTGCAAGGACACATAGCAAAAGAGTCCTTTTGCTTGAGCTTCTCCAATTTTACATTGCCATTGATTGCTACAAATACATGGGATATAAACATGACAGTAGTTTTGGTACCTCCTTGCATGATCGGTGACTCTTCCAACACCCCAACGTGGTTCTCAGTCCAGTCTTTGGATGGTGATCGGTTGACCGTCTGACCTCCAATCAGATGTTGGTGTGTTCTTTGACGCATTCCTCATGACCATTTGCAAAGCCCTTTTGGACCTGGTGATCTGACAGAAACATGGGTGCTGGCTAGACAGGATTCGGTTTGGCTCATTTCACTCATGGCAGCTTCAATGTAGGACTTCACTGGGAGTGGGTACAGTGGGTGACGATCTCACTAAATCAAGACTTTTGGTGCCTCTCCACCCAAAGAAACCGCTGCTTGATGGCTGCACTCAAAGAGACAATACCGAAGGATTCCGCCATGAGTCAGATGAGCCACAGGGAACCTGAAAACCACTGGCCTGTGGAGGCTCCCCATCCAATTTCAAGTTAGGTCCATGTTCAGGTTCCACATTCACCAACGAAAACAGGGAAAACACCCAAGTAACAGAACCTTTTCATCTGGTTTTGTTCAGGTCCCCTTCAGTCTGTAGCTCCGGGTGCCCCTCGCTCCGCTCCTTTTCCGCTCCTCGGGTGCCCCAGCAGCGGCTTCGAAGCGCAAGCCTCGCTGAGCACCATCGCCACGAAGACCAGTGCACACAACGAGGAGGCACTGAGCAAGCAAGGTGAGGGTGGGGAAGAAGGGAACATCTAGAATGGGTGGGTGTTGTGGTCTAATTATGATATATTTTCATGTTTGCTTAGCAACAAGTGGTAGGGCAAAATTGATTGTGGGGTCCAGCCCTCGATATTTTTTCTGGAATTTGCAATGTGATCAAGTCCTTTAGCAGCATGAGGCTGAAAGAGAGAATTACCTGGGGGTGTTTTTGTTGCGTCGTTCGGTACGATGGAGGACAGTGAGGACACAAAGTACCGCCAAGGGACCCAAATCGACGCAAATGGACACAAAGAGCCATGTCGAACACCTGTTGGAATCTACTGACTGGGTGTGTCCGGACAACTGTATGACACAAGCTGTACATAAACAAGGGTTTTGGACTCACGTTTGTTTAACAAAGCAAGCCTACAATTTCATCACCTTGCGGTGCGATGGATGACCAAAAGCCCCAGGGCCCGACGAGTGGCGCTCGCCGGCTCAGCGAGCCACGACCGAATCGAGTCGGGCTTGGTGACGACCAAGTAGGGAGAACGTATGAAGCAGGTAGTTCACCATCCCAATCTATGGCAGTTGGTCACACTTCGGTGCACCCACAACAGCCAGGGATCCGGCGACAGTGGGCGATGGGATGGGGATAAACCTGTGAACATGCAGTTGCCCTCCACACTGGCCTGTGGCTATGGGGGTTATCACTCTTTCATTGCAAAAGAAGATTGTTGATTTATCCCTCACCCACCAACAAGTCCTCCAAGGGTGGATGGTTGAAACTTCCAATCATTTGGTTTGGGGATCAAACGATGGTTCTTTCCGCACCGGTGATACTCTTGAGCAACATGTGCACTGTGGTGTGGAATCGCGGTGATTGTGACCTCTAGAATAGGGGGACCTCTAAAAGCCCCTCTGGAAGAAGGGAAATAGACCAAAAAACGATTGGTTGGGAGTGGTTGGGAGGCCCCCCTGTATTGCTTTGCCATACTACACCCAGTGGTCCCGATGCACGATTCGTGGTCCCCTCCGAATCGCTGGACCGCTCTCCGCAGCGATCCACAGACGGCGTTATCACATGGCGCGTTCGGCTGCGCTGTGTGACCTGACCTGAGTCACTTCATCGTAGGATGAGTCGCTCTGGGGACGTCCGACCTTGTGACAGACGTCAACAAAGTAGACCTCTCCCGACAGCGCCACTGTGGAGGTTCGGGTGGTAACGTAGATCTTCCATCACGGGCACAAAGTAAGCCTGAATGCTGTCGGCCCCCTCCGCCTTTTTTGGAGATGTCTTTCAAGGTCGCGCCTGATCTTCAAACTCATAGAAAGAGTCCTCTGTCATTATCTTGACTTGCTTCAGCCTGGCGAAAAGCAAACACGACGATGATGAATACTCACGTCTTTAAGCCGCACCACAGCAGCCTTCAAGGAACCAATCACGTCGAATTCGCCGAGAATCTTCCATCGCCTGGTGGTGTTCCAGCACCCGGCTTGGCCTGCTTTAACGGTCGCCGGAACGCAGCGCCGCTGTGACCATCACGAGGAGCAGCTTCAACCATCTCCATCCACCGACGGTGTCTCCGAAGAGCCCCTCTCGGTTGGTAGGTGTTGTGAGCCCCTCAGCTGCTGGAAGTTTGCGCAGCCATTGGAGGGTCTTCTCCGCAGCCACCCTCCACTTCCAGGTTCAGGTTTCCTCTTGGGTTGTCATCTCCAAGCCACCGGAGTCTCGCCGACTTATGATGACTCCCCTGCAGGTCGGACCACCCACTGGGGTAGTCGAAAGCATGGTCGAAACCACCACCACGGGTTTTCCTTCGCAGGTTCCAGGTGATCGTTTGCGGGGCATGTATTCCTGATTCATTACTTGGAGGTCACTTGGTCTTTTTGAGACTACGGCAAAACAATGCGAACCAATTCGATGTTCCATCGCTCAGAGACGTGCACCACATCATGTCTGCCACGATGTGCCACGCCCCGTGCCATCCCGCCGCAGTGTTTTTGCTGCCCAGCAACATCGCCATCACCAACGTGTTCACCGTCCAATTGGCCCAAGCATGGAGGGCCTTAGACGACATCTCAGGATGACGATTGGGCATTGCACATGCCATGGAACTGGTCGACTTCTATGATCTGATCTGCAGTAATCAAAGCATTAAAGCATAAGAAAAATAAGAAAGAACTTGTCTTTTCCCCACCTGTCAGGTGAGGGTTGTTAGATTTCATGTCAGTTGCCTCGCATCTCCTCTTCCGCCTCCTGCTCGCCCTCCTCCTCGCCTCCTCTACCGCCAGCTCCCGACGACAGTGGTCCCCGCCGGACCTCAACCGCCAGCTCCGGACGGCAGTGTTCCCCACCTGACCTCAACCGCCAGCTCCTGACGGCAATGTTCCCCGCCGCACCTCAGCTGGCGGTTCCCGCCAGACCCAAAGTGCCAGCTCGGACTGTTTCCCACTTGGCCAGCGAAGGCGGTCCGCCAACGGTGGCTGCACTTGGCGAAGCTGGTCGTGAGGTTCGTCTTCTCGTTAAACTTCCAATCCTTGGCGCAAAGCAAGCTCAGAAGGTGTCAGGAACCGATTTGCTGGGCCATGCCAAGTACTGCCAGCGTTGTGAATCACTGTAAAGAGGGTGGGGTTGAAGTTGCAGGCAACATTGGTTCCATAGAGCTACTGCTTCAAGTTCTTTTGCTCACCCGCGTGACGGCAGTGTTCCCCGCCGGACCTCAGCCGCCAGCTCCCGACACATCCACAGGAAACATCCACAGGACACAACCACAACGCACAACCACAGCACACAACCACAACACAACAACAAACACATAACCACAAACACAACCAAAACACAAAACAACAAACACAACTACAACACAACCAAAAAACACACAATCACAAACAGAACCACACACACGCAACCACAAACACACCCACAGCACGCAACCACAACACACAACCACAAAGAAACAACCACAGCACACAACCGCAGCACACAACCACAACACACAACCACAAACACATAACCGCAACAACTACAAAGACACAATCCCAAACACACCACCACAAGGACACATCCAAAACACACAGCCGCAACACAGAACCACAGCACACAACCACAACACACAAGCACAAACACACACACAACCACAAACACAACTACAAAGACACAATCACAAACACACAACCGCAAGGACATGTCCGCAATAAAACAACCACAAGGCACACAACCACAAAGACACATCCACAGCACACAACCACAACGCATAACCACAAACAAATAACTACAAACAAACACCCACAAACAAATAGCCACAAACACACAACCACAACACTCAACCACAAACACACTTTCACAAACACAACCGCTAGGACATATCCGCAACACACACAACCACAAAGACACATCCACAGCACAGAACCACAGCGCACAACCACAACACACAACCACACACAAAACCACAAACACAACTACAAAGACACTTTCACAAACGCACAAGCGCAAGATCATATCCGCAACACGCAACCACAAAGACACATCCACACCGCGCAACCACAACGCACAACCACAAACACATAACCACAAACACATAACCACAAACACAACACACAACCACTAACACACACACAGTCACAAACAACGTCTTTGTCTCCATCTCCATCAGCTTTGGCAACAAAAACAAGTTCAAGCACATATAGCTGGCACATCCGCTTTAGGTATCGGTGCTGGTGTGCCATCATTATGTTGTGTAGCATGGCCGGTGTACCATCTATATGTTCAAGATTGTTCAAGCACTCTGTCCCCCTTGACCCGGAGTGACAACCTCGCATTTTCCTATACTTTTACTTGCGCCATCTATCCGTGGGTTCCTATATACCAGAAAGAACGTCACAACATATGCCAAATAATATGTTTCTGTTGTGTGTCCTGTACACCTCTTCTTCCTTTGCCTTTACCAGACCAAACACCTGACAGGCGGCATGCCGCTGTCTTGCAAGAATGTCAGTCACATCTAAATGTCATGGTAGGGATCAGTCGAAGTGAAGTAACTTTTTTTCCTTTGATTTCGTCTTACTTTTTATCAGAGCACTCGCAGACTGTTTGGAACCAACAGGGAATTTAAGGGTCTTCCTTTCTTTGCGCGAGTCGGAGGCTTCTGACAGCGCTCGTGCGAGCCCGGACGGCCGGGACCAATGCGCGTCGCGCAGGCGACGGAGGGGTGACCGGCGGGCAGTTGCCTGCCCCAAATAACATCCCAATCGCAACCGCCGTAACAACCATGTAACTTCTTCATAACAACCACTCAACAACATGTAACAACCCAATTGAGAAGTTAACAACCTGCCCCCCCCAATTATTTCCAACAACCCCACCCCTGGTATCGGGCCCAAACGGCGCACCAACGCCACCCAGAGCTCAGTCTGCACCGATGCAACGGCCGATGCACCGATGCAGATTTCGACGTCAAGGAAAACACACCTGAACTCACGGTTTACATCCCAAAAACATATCCTTTTGGGGTCTCCAATGCACTACCACTTGGACTCCCCTACACTTGTGGATCTCCATTGAACACCCCTTTGAAATCCTTTGAAGGTTTACATCTGTTGGTCTGTTCTTTTTTTGGGGGTTCCAATCCATGTCAGATGGTGCAGGAGCCTGCCTGTGAGACGTGACCACCAAACTATACATAGGCTGCCGGACGAGAGTACGAAGACCATCTTGCTCTGGCATCAACAAGTAGAGCAACCAAGGAAGGCCTGGTTGCCGGATAGACTTTCTGGTGTCTACTGAATAGATCGTGAAATATGTTCGACCCAATGACAGGTGTCTACGCAGGGAAGGTTGATGCAGTCTTGGGATTTCTTCCCTCAGTTTGAGACACCATAGACTTGCATGGATCCTGCTGGCTTGCTCGCTCTGGCTCGCTCTTCTTGCAGGTCTGCTTTGTTCTCCTCTTCCTGTGCTCCTTTCTCATCCCTCTGGGCAGGTGGGAATCAAAGCACTATCGGATAGCCAAGAACAACACAACCTTACTCGACTCGACTTGAGTTTTTGCCAGGTCTGCAATGAACAACAAAGTGCGGTCCCGCCTTGAAAGTTCAACACAGATCTTAGCGCTCCCGAATGCACCCCTTGATACACGTGGTACCGGGTATAGGGGGTGAACCAAAAGAAGGGAACTGTGTGTAGCATGAGGACGTCCATACAACGCACCAAACTTGGACATGTGTGCCATCTAACCTTGAAGGTACCAACGAACTCGTATCATCTCTCCCTGGTCCCAACTCCCGCATCTCGTCTCTGGGTGTCCGAACAAGCAAAGGTGGTCAAGGCTAAACCCTGCAAGGCCTGCTCCATGACCACCTGCGCGAAAATCGCCACCACTGTGTAAACATGCCGCCAAAATCAGGTCTCAGGAATTTGTAAAATGTTTGAAACTGCGATTGACCTCGTTGAGGAAAAACAACCACCTACACTGGACCTACACCCTGAAACTGCAGTTTCTCTGCATTGTTTGGGCTCCAGCATCTGCTTATTGGCTAAACACGCACAGTCTCCAGTCTGCCTGGAGATGTTCATTTGGCCCGCAGGTAGAACGGGTGTTTCCTTTGACCCACAGGTCATTGAGATTTGTGAACAAATTGAGATCATGATTATACCAGCAGTTGAAGTATAGAGCTATTTGGGGTTGAACAACATGAATTGATCCTCAATTGTATTTTTAAATGGTTTCTTTTTACCCTCAATCTCATACACATGCACATGTGCATTGAACGACACTGCCTGAAACTGAAAGCGGGCATGGCTCCAACAGGCGGAGCTTCACCCCACGTCCGCTCAATTCGGTCGTTTCGTTGGCTTCACCCAGTTGGGTTCACCGGCTCCCCGAACCGGGGAAGGGCGGAAGAAACGAGTCCAGCGGCACCGGGGGGGGAATGATGAACCGGAAGCTCTGCAGGGCAAACCAAACAGAACTTGTTTTGAAACGGAAGTTCAGCGCCAGGTCCTAAGGTTCCACGCTTTCGATCATTCCTTTCCGGCAGATTCATGGGATTGTGTGTTTAATGTTGTTATTCTCTTAGTGGAAAGGAGGATTGATGTCCAACCATCTTGGTCGTCACTCCTACAGGGTTCGCATTCTGAGAAACCCTGCAGGGGTTGTCGACATCTTGGGTCGACATGAGATGCCCAATTAAACATTGTTTGTTATCTGAATCCCAAGGCGAGCAGTCTTTTTAAAACCTTTGTTTCCGCAAAATAAATGTTTGTGTGCGGAATATTGCAGGATAATTTTGTGTCTTGATTGTGTTTGCAAGGTTCCAAGAACCACTCCCAAGGGTTCTGCCTCTACTTGTAAATACCCCTCCCGACACGGCAGGATAGGGATTTGCGGGTTCCGGATGCCTTTTCGTTGAGGTTTGAGTTTTACCTTTAACTGAAAAGTCCAGCTTTCGATCTCAGTCCACAAATGCCACATTGCCTGTCATAGCGACTTCCATCGTCGCTCTTGTCACTGTACATGAAACATTCCATGGACCCTGGCTGAATGTGTGAAAGCCTGGGCTATTGAGTGCTGATTGAAGCTGTGGCTCTCACACAACATCGCAAGACCTTCTGGAAGGCATAAGTGAATAGTGATGACTTGGCGAAATGTCACAGGCAAATTCACCAACCAGGGTTCCTTTCCATCTCCGTAAACCTCGGACCAAGGCTTCCAAAATGCTAACAGCGATACACACCCGCCACCTTCAATCCAAAGTATCGTCTACATAAACAAACGTACACAAACTATCTCAAATGATAATCTTCCAAGAACAATGACACTTTTGGCTTGACTGCTCCCCCGAAAGCTTCTCCAAAACGACTGTTCAAGTACGTAACAAACATTGACATAAACAAACTTACACCTCCCCAGGTGGGCGTCCCGCACATTTACGCCTCGTTTTGCGAGGAGGCCAGCCGGCAAATGGCAGGTCTTGGTTGCGGCTGCGGCGGGTTAAGGGCCAGGATTCTCTGAGCAGGAACCTGAAAATCACCAGCAGCATGGAAGCAACGTGTCTGATCAGAGATTTCTAATCAAAGACTCAGGAGATTACATCCATGCTTGCATCATCCAAATGAGGGAGTCTTCGGGCCAAAGTTCCGGCGGTGTCACCCGGTGACTGAACGTCGGCCTCATGTTTCGCAACGAAAAAGGACCAATCTAGCTAGGAGCGCATCTGTGCTGCAACTGCAGCCAAATCCAACCCGATCAGGTCTTGATCCATGCTGAGCAGCTCGGGGTGATGTTGCAACATGTTTTGATTTTAGCCTTAAGACCAGACCAGCGGACTCTTGCGGACCAGCGTTGCTGGGATCATCGACATGCCGACTCAGGTGGACGAAATAGTGGATAAGGGTTGCAGGCCTTGTTCAAAAAATGTGATTTGCTTGTTTATTGACGGCTCTACAGGTTTACTGGGACAGACCCGACCAATATGTTTTGACATGTTTTGATCCCACGAACGACCTCACTGGTTGACCAGGTTGATCCTCAGTCACTCAGCTGTTGGACCAACTTGGTGACCTTCTTTCTCCTACCAAGTGCTTGAAGAACCTCACTGTGATCAACTGGCCACCAGACTCTCATAAGAGTGTTTCACTGTTATCTTAACGTCTTACATGTTTGGTCGCCTCTTATGTAAGACCCAACTCTGAGGATCCGAGACCAACGACGCTCTACCGAAAACTGGGCACCCAGACATGCCCAGGCCGAGGAGCAAACCACCCATGACGTGCCTCGGACGGAGGGAACAGACAGTGGGAGCCATTTGCTCCAGCCGTGGCACATGACCATCGCCGTGGGGGTCGGCCGTCGCAGCAGTTTGGCGATCTGTGGGATTCGACTGCCCTGACGATCTCCCGGGAAGAGACCCACATGGAACATCATGGAACCTGATTGCATGGACCAGACTGGAAGACGATTTTCCTCTACAACCCGACGTGGTTTTCAGGTTCCATGTGGGTCTCTTCCAGTGGTTTTCATGTTGGCGATCCGAACTCCGAAAGCTGATCGAAAGAACAAACCTGCATCATCCGAGGTCGTCATCCCCCTGCGGTCCGTTCGTTGGAAGACCCAGTCGGGCCCAAGATCGCCAACGTCGTCGGGATTGGCTATGACTCCCCGTGTTTGGCTCGGAGACCGGGGTAGAGGGCTGGGATGGCCCTGGAGGATACCATCACGACACCCAGGTGTTAGTCAGTGACCGCCATGAGATGTTAGTCAGGACTTCTCCCTTGGTGCACGTTTTTCTTTTTGGGTCATTTTCAAACCGCGAGCCACCTCGGTGTGACCAACGCACTCACCTGCTTGCGTCATCGGGCCCGCTCTCCCAGGAAACCCCGGCGTCTTCGAACCAAACGGCGTCTCTCGGGAGATCTTGGGCGCACGGAAACCGGACCAACCACCCCCGCCCACGGACACCGCCCAAGTGCTCCGGGGAATGGTCCACCATGTCCTTGGCCGCGAGGTCGGGTGGTTTGGACTAAGGCACCCCACACTTGAAACTCCCTAGGGATCCAAGTACCTTCTCAGAAGGTACTTGGACCCTCCAAACCTACATAAATAGCATCCAATCACCTTCTGAGAAGGTACTTGGATCCCTAGGGACTGGACATTGCGACACATCAGCAGCAAATCAGGGGAACTGTGTGGTATTTGATCTGACTTCAGTAGGGAGACGAGATCCAGTGAAACATGTCCTTGTGCCCGACATGTATTCTGATTGGTCGAATGCCCAAAACATCCCAAAACCATTCTTGATGGACGCACACGGTTCAAACCGCCTGTTCATGGAATGTGCAGTTGGTGGCAATCGTTTTGACCTCCGCTCCATAAAGTACCACAATGAAGAAGTTGTCTGAAAATCGACACCCTGCCTGCAATCTACAAAAAAAACCTGTTCCGAAACGGACCCAACTATCAGGTTCACACAAACCCCATGCTGGGGGTAGACGAAGACCTCTGATCCCACAATTTGCTGAAAAACAAACAACTTGATTTTTGTCAACATATATTTGATAGGAACAGCCACAACAACTCAGCAAAGTGAATCACGATCACTCTTGTAAACCAACAATTTCATATCAATATCTAAATGCCCAAATTGGTCCAAATACATTAACAAAAATACCCTGAGGTTCTTTGCGTGAGATGACATGAGATGACAACACACTTAACTGTTTGCAAATTCCAACGCAACGTTGTCATCCCCAAACAAAACACTGCACTTAGGCTTGGGCTCCCGACCACAGAACATGCCCACTAAACCCACTGCCCTACAAAATGACCTCTTCAAGTTTGGTGGGGAAACTCTCCACCAAAAAGGTGGTGTCGGAGGACATCAGTTAGACTTGTATGACCTAGGACGTGGTCCGCAAGCACTGACTCGGCAACCATATTGCCAAATAGATTTTTCCTCCCCAACAAGACCCGTTCCAGAAACTGAGGAATCAATCGCCCGTAGTTACGACTCGGCCTTGTCATCTAAGCAACCGATACAACACTCCGCCGGTCGCAGATTCGCGGATCGACGCGCCAGGACCTCCACCGAGACGCCAGAGTTGCACCGCGAAGGTTCCAGGACCTCGCGGCGCGAAGGTCGTTATGGCAGTATATATACTCTGGTTTTTGACATCCTCTGGTAGTGAACGACCTGCCCAGGTGTTCACCATTTTTGAAAATTCGGTGGTATTGATATGTATGGACCCCAAACTGAATTGGTATCCAATCCAGGTCATTAAGCACCCTATAAAGATGTTTGCCCTTCATGTAGAAAATCCTTGTTGCAAAAACTCACAAGAGCTCGCAATTGGGTTTGCACATAATGGGCAGTTGTACGAATGGTACCTTGGACATCAAAAGCAAGTGAAAGATCTCTATGGCTCTATGGGTTTCAAGGTCTCTCGGGCGGCAACATCTCACAGGATTTGACCCAAGGGCTTTGCCCACGTTGAAACGTAGGGCATGGGCTCCTGGGTGCGTAGGGACCACCACCAGCAGCACCCACTCACCATCCACCATGCACCCTTCACCACCTTCACCACCACCACCTTCACCACCACCACCTTCACCACCACCACCACCACCACCACCACCACCACCACCACCACCACCACCACCACCACCTTCACCACCTTCACCACCACCACTACCACCACCACCACCACCACGACCTTCACCACCTGCATCACCTTCACCACCTTCACCACCTTCACCACCTTCACCACCTTCACCACCTTCACCACCTTCACCACCTTCACCACCACCACCACCACCACCACCACCACCGATACCGCCACCGCCACCGCCACCGCCACCATCACTAGTCACCATCACCACTTCTGCTTCTACACCTCTACACCTTGCACCTTTAGACGCACTGTTTGGATTCTCGTGCCTGGAACTCCTCTTGAAGAGCACCGTGATGCAAAAACAACCACCGAAACAATCCCTCAATCCGCTTCCCAAATCTGTGCCTCGCAGCCTCAGCGTTTGGGGCTTCCAGGATGATTCAGGCACCGCTAGCACCGCGCTTGCTCCCAAGTGGCAAAAGCAGCAGCCCGGCGGCCAGGAAGATCCTGGCACAGTCGGTGAGAACAATCACTTCACCGTGGGTTTAAGCCATATCATGTTATACCCCACCGATAACTGCCTCAGCGGCGCACAAAGTAAATCTTCCTCAAACACACGAAAACCTTTAGCCTTGGTTCATGTTTGTTTGGTTGTTTTCTTCTTGGTTGACCCGTTTTACCACTGTTGTCTTGGCCGGATTTCGTTCCTTCCCATCAGCTCCATGGGCGGCCGTCCTCCGCCAGTAGAGATATCTCCACCCCTCTGCGCCCAGGTGGAGCGCCACTTCCTGCCAAAGTCAAGCGATCAAGCCGTTCGTCGCAACGGCGCTTAGTCTTGATCCGTCGAGCCCCCCACCTTGACACACACACGCACGCTCGCCAAAAACTTGAGGGATAAATGAGTGAAAACAATGAACATTTGCTGGTGTTTCTGGTGTGGCAACGCAGTGACACTGACATTTTGTTTGAGTGAACTGCTTTCAACACCTGAGGAGGAACCAACGGTGTGCTGATCAATGTCGAAGTGGAAAAATCTTCAGGCCACCAGCAACACGATTTTGGACCTGAATCGAGTGGCAAGCTGTCCTTTGATGGGCTTGGTGATGTGGGTTGCTCATGGATGGTCTTGGTGTTGGGATGGTAGCCTTGGATGGGCTGGCAGGCTTGGATGTGCCGCCAGCACAGTGGAGTGGATGCAGGATGCATGCCATGCTTCCCAAGAGAGCCAGCACTCTTGCTGGTCTTTCTTGCGCTGGTCCTCTTGGTTGTCCTCGGCCTGCCACTACATATCTCTTCATACTTCCGGGCAAATTCCTGGCCAGTTCATCTTCATGATCCATTCTCATGGCCTCATTGGCCACCGCTCACCATGTCCTGGTAGTCTGCTATGGCTGTGGCCTTGTGGTTGATACAAGCATGTAAGAAACTTGTGGGGGTTGTATTTTTGGTTAGTGCTGTGGTGGTGGAAAAAGGATCAAAATGTGTAAGTTCATGCAACAATAGCATTTTGAACTTGGAAGCTGCAAAACGAAAGCCAGCGCTTCCCCTTTTCGACAACTGCGCGTCGAAGCAAGCAGAGAAGAGGCATTGCTGCAAGGCCTAGTATCGCCATTGCCATGGACAAAAACCGCTACAACCAAGTTCCTCAATTTGTGGGGCTCGAAGCCCCTGCGTTTCGAGCCCCACAAACCCCTTGCCATGCGAGCACCAGGCCGCATGCGTCCACCCAAAGTACACTTCGTGTGCTATGAATTTTACAACTCTGGAGAAGGAGGGCCGACGGGTACAGAACCAGTAGAGATTATCCAATGATCGGCGTTTTAGAACAGATCAATCAAGTTCCCCGATTTGTGGGGCTCGAAACAGTAGCGTTTCGAGCCCCACAAACCCCTTGCCATGCGATCACCATGCCGCATGCGTCCAGCCAAGTAGGCCCACACCACCGCGTAACCTCTGCACAACTACTTCTCTTTTAAAGCTTTACGTCGCTTGGCCACCGACTAGCCTAGACACCCTTTCCGTCATGTTTCTCACAACGCCTACGACAAACTCTTGGGACCAGTTGAAGGCCGTCTGTCCTTCTCTGTGACAGGCTATCTCGTTTCCTCTGTCAACGCCGATTATGCTGACTTCGCCAACCACAGGCGACGAAGACATGAATTTACATCGTGCTGGAGAGTCATGTACAACAAAGGACTTTAACGTCTCTTTTTACCTGTGCTTGGTCAGTCTAGCGACTTCTGATGACGTCAGAGATCCTAGCCATGCGAGGACCTCCAGTACCTCGTTCTTCCGACATGTTCGACTCTTTACGTCATTAGCATGCTTTTGTGCTATACCTCTTACACACCTGTGGATTGCTGTGCGTGTGTAGAGGTTATCGAGCGGTTGACGGAAAGGGAACTTGAAGTACTATTCCTGGTAGCTGCACTATAGCTACCCTGGGTCTCTATACCTGGCAAGGTGCCAACTACACCTTTATTTTCCAGGTGGCCTGAACAGAGTGTTTTAGGGCAGCAAACCCTGGTCTCAGGCCACCTTGAATGTAGCTTGAAAACCACACTTTGAAGCCTCATGCGCGCCATACCTGGGAACAGAATTGTAGCTACCCTGGGTCCGTATAAATACTATGTTGCTATACCTCTTACACGCCTATACAAGTTCAAAGCACGAATGAGACTTCAAAGCTGTGGATTGCTGTGCGTGTGTAGAGGTTCTCGAGCGGTTGACGGAAAGGGAACTTGAAGTACTATACCTGGTAGCTGCACTATAGCTACCCTGGGTCTCTATACCTTGCAATCTGCCAACTACACCTTTCCATTCAGATGATGCAAATGATGCATTTGGCATTTCTTGCATCACCACCCCTCAAAAATCCCCTCCAACACAACCTCAAAAAACCTTCCCTCGAAGCACCCTCCTCCCCCAGCATGTGCCGAGTTTACGTGTACCTTTCCCGGGCCACCCCCTCAAACCCCCTAACTACTCACTTCGTTCGCCAGACACAACTCCGCTAGCGCCTTCTACGAAGGCTGGCTTTCGTAACAATTAAACTAAGATCAACCATACAAAAATGTCTGGAACAGTTAAGTTCAGTTTCTTTTTGAACATTTGAATATAAATTCGGATTTCTGAACTTGACTGAAGAGTCTTGAGTTTTATACTCAAGATTCTGGTGGATCAATGCGCAAGGTTGCGTATTGAACACTTGTGCGGTGAGTGCTAGTCACCCCGGACTGATTGCACTTTGAACAAGCCACCAACAATTAAGCAGGTACGTTTCCACGAACCTTGATGAGCGTCTTCATTGGCGCAGGACTCCGCTGCTGAAGTCGAGAAGCCAACAGGCTACCTGTAAGCCCACGCTGTACACACACAGACCTCGCGAAGGGAGGCCGTAGTACAGCCTCCATCCTGCGGGTAAAGGAGGCGCCCCATCCTTCCCGGAAAAAAAGCTTTGCGAAAGCACACGCGCGCCCAAACAAGAGAAGGATGGGCTTCTTCTGTAGCAGTCGCGCCAGGCGCCTGTGCAGTCTTCCAACTCCTGCTGCGCCCGCGCCAGCGCTTGCTCTTTCGATTTCTTCTTCGCTTCCCGCCTTTTTGCCAAACTGCAGCCGGCAGGCGATGACTTGCCTTTCGGCATAGATGGCTTCCGTTTCTTCTCCATGCCCTCCACATCACGCGTCTCAGGCGGGTCGCGAAGCTTCGGTTCTTTCTTGGCCCCCTTCTGATCCTCTGCCTGATGCTCCAAAGCGGTCGAGGGGCTGGATGTGCCTCATTCCTTTTCCAACCACACGCCACGCGCCGAGAAAACGACTAATCATGACTAATCTGGTATCTATTCTTGCCGATGGTAATCAGGAGCTAAAGAGTGTAAAGAGTGAATTTTCCTAAGTGGACCAGACTGGAGCCCAAACAGTGACGTGAAGGGAGTGCAAGCAGAAAGAACTAGCTCAACCTCTGAGCTCCCCAACACAGAGATAATTAGAAACTTCAACAACCACTTGCCATCATGGATATTTCGTTGCATAAGATAACTTGGGATATGTTGCTGCCTGCTCGTGGAGGGAAACATTTTTGAAGAATCTTTAAACCTCACGACTTCATAGGCATCGTGGACATGCATGTGGTGTTATACCCATGGTTACTATTGTTTTAAGGGTTGGGTAAAGTGGCTTGACCAGGACAGTGAATCCCAAAGGCACTCCAAGTAGACCAAAAAGGACCCCAAAGGGACCCAATTTACCGACGGCCTTTTCGGTAAGTTGCGAGGTTTGGATTGGTTTTCAGTAGGCTGCGAGGTTTTTGAACTGCTGGTGCTTTAAGCTTAACTGCCGGCCCCGCTGTCGCCAATTCATTTCAAGGAGTGTCATTGAAGAATTCTGTGGTGTTACCCGGAAGGTGGCCAGTGTTACCAGCATGAGCTCTAGTCAAACGCTGCAGAAGAGACAGGCGTGGGTGGAATCCCAAAGGTGCAGGTTTAGCTCTTGATTCCCCCCCTGATGCTCAATAAACTACTGCCTGACCCCATGACCAAAGATCTAGTGACCAAACGAAAGTGGGAGAAGGCGGATTTCCTTTTTCGATTTGTTATGGCCGCCTTTGATGAGATTTGGTCTAGATCGCAGCCACACACTTTAAAAGGAGAGGACGGTGGCACAAAGGCCGTTGAACCTGACGCATTGTTCATTTAAATGGTGCTTGAGAGTCGATACAGCGAGGCGGCAAGAAAGATGGTAAAGGCGCTGTCTCCCTGTATATCCTGCGCTGGGGGCCTGGGAAACAGTGTGAGCAAGAGAGATGTGGTGTTACTCATCTCACTCCCAGTCAAAACATGTGCCAGGCAAAGGGGAACTAAATCCAAACACCCATGGCAGGTGAGGCCTTTGTTTAGCCCGCTGTTGGAGGTATTGTGTTACTTAGCTCCTTGTTGCGCGGCATTGGTTAGCCACCTGTGGTGCCAATTAGTAGCATTCATTGAACTCAGTTTTTTTGTTGTGTTGCCGATGCTCTCCGTGTCGGATTAAAATGCGTGATTTACCCCAAGGGGGTCGAGTTCAAACACAGTCAGTGGACAGTTTAGCAGTTCTCAGGCTCCTGTGTTTTTTCTGAGGTCTCGCGTGCTGTGACAGAGGCTCAATGTCAAAGTCATGTACTCATTAAGTCATGCCAAAGTAATGCGTCGAAATCACAGCATTCAAGACACAGAGACACAAGAGAAGATCTGTCAAAGAAGGTGGAATTCTTTGCACGAAGGAGGACTTCTCGCACAATTGTGTGGGATCAGCAAGTCAATGTGACATGTCTGGCCTGCAGTTCACGTTTTGCATGCAGGGAAAAGCCTTGCTGTGATGTTTTGCAGGGGAGTGCAAGGGACAAAAATGAACGACCATTTTTTAGTATAGTTTGCCAGACCGACATTAAGTCAGCGTACACATTGTTAGCGTACACATTGTTCGACCAGGCAGAAACGCGAACGTGTTCGCGTAAGGACCCCGGCAGAAGCATTCGATGACAATGTTGTGAAACGAAGGACACATGTTGTGAAACCGATGCAAATGATGATGATGATGACGACGACGGCCTCAAACCATACAAAGCAGAAACGACCCAAGTCCCATGGTCTTCGGTGATTTTTCCCCTCACACAAGCCTGCATGCCAATGGGTTCTTTACTGTGGGAGGGCTGCCAGACTTGGAATGAAAGAAAGGTGCAACACGTTCAGTGCATCCTGATACTTCCAGTGGTCCCAGTACACCTGTTACTTACCAGTAGCGGAGGGAAGTTCGAGTGTCTGACGTAATTGGAGGTGAAGTTCACGTGTTGCAGGCGTTCATGATGGCAGTTCGGTATAGTGAAACTTTGGGAGACACACCAAGTGCCATTGAACCATTATTGGATTCACCGTAAACTGCCAAACAGGACATGAGAACACACATAAAACAAAAAACACACACACACACAAATACCATGCTTTACGTGGAGCACCGGCTCCCCACACGCAAACACACACACACACACACACACACCGAACTACCCTTCCGCACGGCACGAACGGCTCCCTACCCTTCCGCACCTCGACGACGAAGATGGTCACGGCGCCTGCCGGAACGGCTCCGTTCGCGGCGAGTTCGCCCCAGCCAATCGGAACGACGACGTGGACGTCGGGTCGAACGGAGCCGTGTCGAAAGAAAAGGGAAGACACCACGTACAGGTTGCAAAAACTGCCATGAAGACTCAAGACCCGTTATAACTTGACCAGTTGTTGGCTCTGGCCGCAGGTATCTTCCAAGTAGTCTCATGGTCCGACTGCACGAAGACAGATGCCAAGTGCAATGCTCGACCGTACCCTCAGTTGTGCACAACAGAGGTGGTTGCATTGACTCGCTGAAAACAACTGAAGTGTATTGAGAAACGAAAACCAGCTAACAGAGGTGGTTCATGGAACAGCTCGAACAAGGTTCAGGACAGTCGAGAAAACTTACTCGCCTTCAGAATGTGTTGGATTCCGAGTCGTGGTTGGTTTGATGGGAGAATTGCACACTTATATCCTTTTGGATAAAAAAGGTTTGCTGCCCAACTCATCTAGAGAGCCCCGAGAATTTTCCCAGCCGACTCTGACTTTTCCGCATCATCCACTTGAAATGAGACTCATTAAGGTGCCCTGTATGTCCAACATCTTCAAGAAAAAACAAAGATGGGAACCCCAAAAATGAGCGAGGGACAGTGCCTGCTAGAACTCTCCCTCCCTCCCGGCCGGCCTGCCTGCCTCCCTCCCTGCCTCCCTCCCTCCCTCTTGTTTGTTTTTCTATGTTTTTCTTCTTTTGGTGCGTCCCTGCATGCTTGGGGCACAGCTGGGGTCATACGCTTTTTTCCGCTGGTTCCGGAGCGTCCACAGTCCACATGCCCAGCATTTCGACAAACCGCCCCCCCTTGCATGGGGTTTGGAAGGAGTTGTACTACTGACTGTTTGGGACGTCTTACCAACCATCATTTGACTTCTTTCCACTTCTTGGATTGAATCCTTTGGTCATCGTGGTAGTCGCTCATCACCCTGAAAGGTATAGCGGTACAAACTCCTGAATGCAAAAACACCTAGAGAACATGCGCGTAAACTGCCGACCGAAGAAAAACCGCATAAAACAACCGAGGGCAGGTAAGCCCGATAACGAAACAACGAGCGAAATAAGCACAGACTAGGGGGAACGTAACAACAGCAACAACCTCAAACGCATAACCAGCACTCTCCAGGTCGTGGGTTTACGGTAACCTAGTGGGAGGAGCACCCGCAGCCAAAACGGAGCCCCACCCAGAAGAAGAACCCTAAAACCCATACGCAGAAGTTCAGCAGAGCGGTGAAAGCAGAAGTTGGGGGGAAAGAAGCGAGACAGAAAACACATCGAGAGAGGGAAGGAAGTAGAGTAGCGAGAAACAACGCATAAAAAAGGAGATAGTATCAGTATGATAGTGTGAGATAATGATTCGTACTAAAATGACCGTGAAGGTCATGAGGATGAGCAGCGAGCACACCAAAGAGAGCCGAAGCACAGCCTAAGAAACTGGAAAAGCAGGACTGCAAAAAAAGGGACACAAAGGCACAGGCACCTACAACGGGACAGCCCCCGGTTTCTGATCTCCGCAGGGGACGGGCCCTCCGGGAAGGAAGGTGAAGGAAGGCCCGTTCACAGCACTAGGACACAACGAGACCTACACGAGTCCTTCAGCTGCGTCGCGGCCAGAAAGGCCTGCTGTGCCACTGCTCGCTCGTCCAAACCCATGAGTTTGGACGAAGTCCACGGGGACCGGAGGGCAAATGCGCCGGTCGAATTCGGATGCGTCGAATTCCCAAGGCAAGGAGAGAAGGTTGAACACAGCAAAACGTCCTGGCATCGGTCAGCCATTTCCAAGTTCCGGAAGAGCAGCACCACAGGCCACACCTGGTCGCCATCAGGGGGATTGCTGTGCGGCTTCCAAGCTGGCAGGCAAACTCTTGCGTTCCTGGAGGGCGGACTCAACACTGGGTTGCACCACAGCAGCCATAGCAGAAGCAAGGTAACCAAGGAGCCAGGTCCCAACTTGAGATCTCCAAGGCAGTGGGCACTCTTTTGGTCACTGGTCCTGTGGCGCTTCGCCTCCAGGTGGTCCAAAGGTTGGGCCACTCGACGCTTGGCTTCACTGCGCAAGAACATGACCCAGCTCCTGCAGTTGGCGAGTCCAACCTGGTGGCTTGTCTGGAGAGCAGGGCGAGCGGCACCAGCCAACGATGTTGTTTGACCCGGAACTTCCCTTTGGCCTTTTACCCCACCTGAGAGTCATACTCCGCTACGTCTCGACCTGGACACCACGGGATTCGTCACACCAGGCCTATCTCCAGGCCACTGGGCCAGGCGTCAGTGACCACTGGCCGACGCGCCTGGGACCCACGTTGCCGTTGTGAACGACAGAAATGGTGAAGAATCATCCAAACCCGATAGGGATCCAGTCGGACCGAACCTCAGGTATGGCGATGTGTTCGACACTATTTGCCGGTGCCAGCCAGTCGGGTCCAGTCGTACCTCAGGTTCGGTACGACAGGATCGCTAGGGCAAGTAAATTAGGTCGAACATAAACGTATCTGAAACCAGAAACTTTTGGCCGTTCTTCGTGTCATCTGAAGCAGGGAGAATGGAACCTTGCAAAAGGAACATGCCATGTGTACATGCACTCGGAATAGACATCTGCAAAGGCCCCCGCCCTCAAAATGCCAAGTAGTATATGAACAGAACATGATCAACATGCAACATTCTGGCAACATGACAATCTTAGTGTTTGGCTGATGTGCTGCTGGATTGGGACGTGCGTATCAGACTTACCTACATGCAATCAATACTGTGTTTGCCTGAGTGGAAAAGACCACTGAGTCCACGTCAAAACACCAATCCCAAAGTGCACCAGCAATTTCCCATTCAACCAAACCTTGGTGACTTTCAATCTGATCACATAGCCACCACCCAGAGAAATAGGCGGAAGTGGAACCGTACCGTCACCTGCGGGAACCCGCAGTACCGCCCCAGCATGTGTCCCACTTTCCAAGCACACGTCCCCGTGTCCGGTTCAGGCTTTGTTCGACTGCAGTCAAGCCCAAAACTGTGGGAGTATGGAAGTTCCATCCCTACATCCGCCATACGAACGCCTGGTTTTCAAACCTCATCTGGTCTCATCTTCATTCTTCCAGCCCTTTAGGATCTGTTGGACTTCGACTTCACCCCGTTTGGAAAACAATGGCTGAACTAAGGACCCGTCCAGCTCGAGCCCCACCAAGATGGCAGTGAAACAAACCTGAGGCGCCACTTGTGGTGCAGTGGGACATTCAGATTGCAAACGCAAAAGGAATCGGACTGACCCCCGATTCCGAAGCGTTTCGCGTGACACACGGTCAAGAACGTCTTCCATCCTTCCCAAACACTTCTAGCTGCTAGACCCCGGGTCCCAATCCCCAGTGGATGCCGAAAAGAGCCTTTTTCTCAGTTCTTTGGACTCCGCTGTGCCAGGCCGTAGGATAGGGATTCGGCCATTCCGTGCGGCGGACTAGGGAGAATGGACCGTGCGCACGACCGTGCGCAAAGGCAAACACACAAGCCGGCACGGATGTACATAGACACATGCATGCGCAGTATGTTCAATTTCCTGCACTCGAATTTTAGTTGATGAGCATCCATCCCTGGTGTGCTTTCAGCTGCCTCCTGCATGTGCACAGCTATTCATTTGTAAGAGTTCGCTCACAACTTGTGACCCTTCTCCCCAACCTACCAGTGCCACCGTCTAAGACCAGTCTTTCGACCTGGCCACCGGTTGCTCCGCTTCGACCGGTTGCTCCGCTTCCGCCACGGTGCTGCGAAGTAGATGGCGCCACAGGTCCATGTGCTCGGATTGAAGCGCTGGCGCCTGGGGTGCGGCGGCATCCGCCGCATGGATCAAAACCGGTTCAAATCATGCGGATGTCCATGCGGCAAGGGCGGGGCGGAGTTTTCCCAACGCTACATCTTGATATTTTGCCTCTCCTGTTTGATCTCTGTTGCTACCCAAATTGTATCAAACAAAGAAGTCCTCCCAGCGAAGCTGCAAATGAAGGGATGCATGACCACGAATTCAATCCTGCGGGATCACGTTCACACCCGAACCTGTACTACTAGTATGCGTGCCACTCCGCATGAGATAGGGATCACATGGGACCACTTTCCACTGCACACAACAAAAAGACGCCTTGATATCCACAGTGCTTTGAACTTTTCCAGGCGATAGTTTAAACTCGAATAGCTGACCTCCAGGTCCCTACAGAATCACAAGGATGTATAATCCAAGTGTCTAGAAAAACCCAGCACTTGGGGCCAGGGACACACTCCACAAAATGGGTAGGTTGCAAAGGGGGGATGGATAGAGATCTGACCAAGAAAATGACCAGCGTGGATGATACATTCTGCAAAGATGCAAGTGTTTGCAAGTCAGCTAGATTTCAAACTGACAAAAAACCATTCACGACCCATTTTGTGGAGTGTCTCATTCTTGAAGAGCTCGTGCATGCGACTTGGTGGTGGCATCTTCCCCTGCATCCCCCTGCCAGATCCCCCCTGCACAAGTTTCTCTACAAAATGCATTCCCGCGTGTGCAAAACCACATTAAATAGGACTGTTCACAGTTGTCTACAGAATCACAAGTCTGCAAATCAGCATTTCATGGGCGCACTCAGATTTTCCCCTCTACAAAAAGCCAAATCACAAGTCTGCAAATCAGCATTTCATGGGCGCACTCAGATTTTCCCCTCTACAAAAAGCCAAACCGAACCCCCAAAATGTAGGACCAGTTTACTATAAACTATTGCCTTATTCCAGTGGTCAACACGTCCCATTCTGTAGAGAAAACGTACAGGAGGATGATGAACTGATGTAAAACACGTGCTACCAACCAGTGGTTTCGGGGCTTCATGTCCAGGAACTCCTTCATGGCGGAAGTGACGTCATCAGCACCGACTTTGTCGAAGTTCATAACAAGAACGGGTACCAGGAAAGGCGACAATGGCAACCTCAATCACTTTCTTCACCTCGCAGACTACCCGCCCTTCTCCGCTGGCTTTATCTGAGGGATTGGTATCAATCACTCGACTAGAGTAGATCCAGGGGCCCAGGAGGGTAGATGAGGCCCTCGGAGTGTTGCAGCCATTGGTTTATACATGTGACTCTGAAGCTCAAAACATGTAAATAGATAGACACGTAGATCCCCACGAAAAATGTATTGGAAACCATTTCTATCTGTTTGGGGACCACTATATGTCTAAAGTCCGAAGGTACAGCAACACTTGCAACCTCCTCCATTCCACGCACTTAGGCATGCTGCGAAAAGCCCCAAGCAGCTTTGCTGTGTGGGGTTCTCAATTCTTGCATACAAACGACCATGAGCCAAGATGATTTGAGGCCTTTTGTCTCCTTTTGTATCCATTTGCCTCCCATGACTCTTCTTCGATGCTGGGCTGAGACGATTTTGGTTTGTCTGCCTTTCCTTGGACAGACGACATCGCAATAGGATGATCTTTGGTTCACAGCACCCCTGAAGACCTCCTCTTCGGATTCAAATGCAAATGTATTTTTTGGATCCAGATTTGCCAAAAGACACATCAAGCTGCCAGTGCTGTTTGGGGTTCACTCACGTCCAAGCCATCAGCTCACGTCTGCTGCACCTCTCTTGGCCTCCGAGCCCAGGCAAAAGCAGTGTGGAGGTTCCAGCGGCAAATGCCTGGTGCAAGGGGTTGTGCGTCCGAAGCGGAAAAAACACTTCGAAGGCGGTGAAGGGGAGATGTCGGGCCTGGGACAATCCTCGAGTGACTTTTCGGTCGAAGTCTAGTAGCGGCTCGGACCGCGATCTGCTCGGTGGAGGCCATTAGCAAGCAGGTTGGAGGCCATCACTACGAACGTAACAAGAAGCTACTAGTAGCAAGGCGGAACGCACACAATAGCTGGGTGCCTCACCCCCAACAGCCTCTCATCCTGAACACCCCGCTTGGAGGATTGGACATCCAGATTTTGTACATCTTGTGGATCTATGATCTATAGCTGGGTGCCTCACCCCCAACAGCCTCTCATCCTGAACACCCCGCTTGGAGGATTGGACATCCAGATTTTGTACATCTTGTGGATCTATGATCTATTGAGCAAGTTTGATTTAAACCTTCTTTGGACATGATCCAACATCTATACCAGACATCAACTTCAACAAACACTGTGCATTTTCACGATACTTGGCTCTGAAGGTATGACCGTCTCCCTCCACTTTTTGAGAAATAAAACCCACGCATGCAAATGGGATTTTCTTTCTATTCGACATCATTCGACAAATAGTGGCGCACAGTGCACTCAGCGTACTCTGTTCTTGAAGGGCATCGCTTTTTTTGGCCCAAGCCATATGGAAAACGAACTCAAGACAACTGCAGAATTCTCGCCTCAGGTCCGCGGATGACATATCACACCCCGCCCACTAATGCCGAAACGGGGGAGGTTGAGCTCGTTCCGTTCCTTCTCGGCTCGGTGAACGGCTGGGTGAAGGTCCCCATCTCGGCTTCCCCACCAAGCCGGGCGCCAGCAGCCGCGCGGTGAAGCTCTCGGTCGCCTCACGGAGCGGTGCAGGTTCGGCAGAGAGGGAGGACACTGAACGGCACCAAGCTAGATCACCTGGAGCATGCTAGATAGAGCTCAAGCTCAAAGCCGACCTAGGCTCTATGACTCTGTTGAAAGAAACCTTTCACTTGTGAAGCGACCTGTGGGATCGTTTCTTGGCTTGAACATCGACGCGTTGGTCCAAACATGTCTGGCTCATGGAAAAAACCGCTGTGGGCTCTGAGTGGGGGTGCAGGGCATTTGGCAGGAAACCTTCAAACATGAACAAGGTGAATGCAAAAGTAAGGAACGGTCAACACACGAGAAAGGCATTTGCTTTTCCAGTAAAATTGGTTGGTGTTCTTCCCAAGACTGGGCAAAACTTGCGGGCATATTCCCGAATTGGCTTTTGGTCACAACTCTCACCTCAAGGAACCTGCCGGTACCTTCTTCAGAGTCTCCCCCAAACCCACCGTCCATCTCGGTGGTCTCCACCGATGGACCAGTCCCGACCGCGACGCGAGGTCCCGCGACGTCCGCCGCCACCCCAAACCACCCGCGACGCGACCTGCAAGCTGCGAACGCTGGGGTAGTAGCTGTAGGGCAGTAGCCAGCAGGCAAAGGCCAGTAAGGCAGCCTGTGGGCCGGCGGACCACTCGCGCAGGACAGGGCCGCGGGCCGGCGGACCACTTGAACGTTCACCGAAGGGGACTGGACGATATCTGGTGGTACAGAATTGCTTCATAAGTCATTACCCACAGGTAGAATAGCTTTTATCATACAGTGAGAGTGGATGATAGTCAACAAAAGGCTGAACATGGCTGAACCGATTAGGTTGTGACCGATTTCCACGTCGATTAGGATGAACCCAGCCATTTCATCCACTGGTTTGTTCTGTTGACCATTCTGTTGACCACTATTTCATTCGGATGTGACCCACTTGGCGAAAGTGATGAGCTGAATGTGTCAGACGGGACCCCATCGGCCCATGTCTCCCGATTCGAGTCACTTGGGTTCCCAACGGTTCCCACCAAACGTGGATGCACCACCGGCTTGGTTCCAACGTTCGGGTTTTAAACGAACACCGCTCCTGCGGTTGAGGTGAAACGTTGACACAAATAATTCATTGAACCAACATATATATATATATACATATGTAATTTAACAATATATATATATATATAATAATATATATATATAATATATATTTTTAACACATAATATCATGTGACATCAATGTGGGTGTATTTTTATAGGGAGATCCCCAATCAATGGGTAGACTGGTACACTTTCCTTCTTCCAGGGGGTCGGACCGCCTAGGGTTCGGTCTACCCAAGACTGAGCTACACACCAATTTGAACACGCCGTTGAACATATGTGAAACCACTTTCGAGGATAATACGTTGACAAGGCCTTTCTGAAGGGGAAAAAACATCTCCTGCGACCGACTTTTGGCACCAAAGAGGTCTTCGGAATGCCATGTGTTCCTTGTTGTTCCTTGCTCTGAATGTGATCAAAATTGGTGGAACTTCGGGCTATACCCCTACCCATTGAGAGTGGGTAGCGGCCTAAAAAATGGGGACTGATATGGACAGACCTGAATGTAGTGAATGGCGGCTGCAAACACTTGTAGAAGCATCTTTGTTCGATATAAAATCAAACTTGTATGAACTTGTATCAATACGACTTACTCATGCGGTTAGATGTTGATAGACTTTGGTTCCTCCTGGCAACCCAGGTCTCCTGGCACCTGTATTGACACCACCGAAGCGATGGGACCACACGTCGGTCGCAGCGGACTCCTACTACGATGCCCATGTGGCAAAGTCCTCTTGAGACGATATCGCGGATGTAGGTGGAGGCCATTACTACTATAGGAACAAGAAGCTACTAGCTTGGAGGCCGCGAATGTAGAGTTGTTCTAATCGAACAAACAACCCTTCAATCAAAGACTTGGAGACCTTCCCTCCCCACATCAACTGCCGCTTCTGGCAGACCTTCTGGCACACCTTCTGCACAAAACCACCCCCCGGGGTTGACCAATCCAACTGGGAGGCCGCGCCACTTGCATGAAGCTAAAGGACAGCGTTCTCACCTCCTTGGCCCATCGAAGTTCATGAGACACACATAGAGTCGGATAGAGGAAGATCCTCCAATGGTTGTGTATCAGGAGCTGAGTAATGGGAAGTTTGACATAATTTCACATACACATGGATGAATGTGTCTTGGGATTACTCCATGGATACTGAAGGCTGAAAAGTCATGGCTGCCACACGAGCTACTGATTCAGCTTTTCATTGGCTCACCCTCTCAATGGGAGCAAATGTCTTTCTTAAGTCACTTATTGATATCGATGAACACTCTGAGCAAACTGAAGCATCAAGGCTAGCCGGCGAGCCACTGAGAGAGTAACTGCTTTTCTTGCACGTTCGGCGCGTCAAGTTCGTGCACTTTCGACAGATTGACATGCTGGGGGGGATCCTCTCCAACATCACACGAATGCACACATTGACAGAACAAGAAGTCAGGCGGTGTGTCTCTGGCAGTTTCTAACAGCCAAATCAGTGAGAAATGACTGTCCAACTTTGCAAATAACCTAAACCGTTTGTTGGCAGCCTCAGCGTTCATTGATTTCAACCGGCCGAAAGCCATACCATCTGGGTTTCCCGTGCATTGGTGTGTTCGAAGATCCTATACTCCTTGAGTTCCTGCCAGTCAGAAAGCACAGGCAGGGTTCTGCCGACCAACGGACACGTGTCTGGGTCTTACAAGAACCCACATTCCAAGCCCCAAACTCCCGTTCCACTTCCATCATGGCCATTGTGGGTTTCGGTCTCCGAAGAAGCGTGGATTAAAATATAGGACCTCTCCTGGAAGAAGGGACATAGACCAAAACCGATTGGTTTTGGGGGTTTCCCAATTTACGTAAATAATCGTACACTACCCAAATAAGTGAATCACACAATTCAACAGCCTGTCGTAGTCAGGCTCCTTCGCGGCTCCTGTGCTGAACTCTCTTTGACCTGTGGGCGGGACTCCTTTGTTAAAGAAAGGGTCCCCCAAAACCCAGAGTCAAAGATCAACTGCGGTAGGTCCTCTACTCCTGACGTAAGGGACAATTCCATTGATTGATCCAAGCAACGATATTTAGTAAGGGGCACACAAAAATGAACACCCCTTTGCTCTGTTTGAACAAACCTCAGTACCTCAAAAATTTGAGCTTCACCAAGCAGTGTTCACCATCAGGGGAGTGTGGCAAGAGGATTCGAGAGCATCCATGTTGCTTTCACTAAGGAATGTGTTCCGCCCGTCTGAGGAGGACACTCTTCCCTTCATCATCCTTCATCCATTTCTCAGTTCTGCGTGTGTGTTGTGTGTTTCGTGTGGTCTTGCGGATTTTGACCCCATCCCGCGAGTGAACGCGATGAAGGGGTGGCGAATCAGTCCTTCATCATGGGCCCCACGCAATACATCCTTGGTAGCTCACATGAGGCCCCACATGACGTGAGGCGGTGTCAAGGAGAGGTCTGGGAAGATCACGATCAAGCATTCAGAATCATCCAGAAATCCTGTAAAAATGGACCACCCGATTCATGAGTTGATCAAGCTGAGAAAGCTCTCACCATGCGTCAGGACTCCCCATCCAAAAATCCTCAGAACGCAGGGGTTGTCACTCAGACCGGTCTTGCACCACCCCACATGTTCAGTCACTGAAGGAGTTCATGGAAACGTGCAGTCTTAGGTCTTTGAAAAAACAATCCTCTCGATACAAACGTCTGAGGTCACACACGGCAACTCCATGTCCCTCAAGCAGATCCATATGAATCCATGCATGTTTTTGTCCCGCAGGCCAGGACGAGTGGTCTGTCTCAGGGTTGTGGAGGAGCTTCGCGCAGGACCGCCTCGTTCCGGATTTTAAAGGGGGGGTCCTGTCCCTCGACCACGGGCGTCCTGCCCGCACCGTGCAGATCACTTTGCTTGGAGATCAGAATGATCAGAGGCACCACTCGAATGCCCACAGCTTCAAGTACCGAGCTCACAAAGCACAGTGCAAAACATGATAGATCTGCCGCCAGGATCTCCGTCCACAAACGAAACAAAGCACTCTGGGCTCTCACCATGTCTGGTCGCGGGTGAACCGAGTCGTTGCATTGGTCTCTGCATCACCGGGTGATGGGGTGATCACCCTGGCCTCGAACCAGGCTTCCGAGGTGCACATGTCAGGTACCACCGTCGTCTTCCAAAACCGTCTCAAATTTGTTGCCATGCGGAATCCCTTGGTTGTTGGCTTTACCCAAACGCTCCATGTATGCCATATATGCCTACATTGACCCCCCCAAACCACCCCAACTGATCGGCATATATTCCATACATGGAGCGTCTGAGTTATATAGATCTTTTACCTCAACAAATAATCTGGTTGTTATAGCCAGAGGTACAACTGCCGTTGGTGAACTCATTGAAACAGGAACAGTCAGGCCAACATCCTCTCTTCGGGAAAGAGACAGCCACAATCGGATCAGGGTTCAAGGTCTTCCCTCCATGTTCACCAACTGTCAAGAATTCTATTCCATCCCCTGTCCCTTCGAAGAAAAAGAAAACAACAAAAACAACAACAGCAACAGGAACAGCAACAGGAACAGCAACAGCAACAACAACAACAACAACAAACACATCTCGCAGCCGCAGTTCGAAACCTAGAAGCTGCCCCTTTTTGCCCAGTGGTAGGTTCACCTTCCCAGAAAGAAGTTCCTGTCGTTCAGGTTCATTAACCCGGTGTCGGGTGGTGAAATGGGGGTGCGACCTACCCCAATTATTCCAAGCATCTGCATTTGCATCTTTGCTTTCATGGAGTGCTTGGCTTTGTGGAAGGCCTCAACACACGGTCGCACAGCGAGTTGCACACGCCGCTCTCGCGGTTTCCGTGCGACGATTTTGGTACGGGGCCAGTTGATAGATTTCTTCCACAAAGGACTGGTAGTTTGCCATTGCCGGGGCCTGCCAACTCACTTCCATGACTGAAACAAGGTGGTCTACTTTCAACATCTTTCAACACATGTGTCCACCGGCCACCGGCCAAGTGAATCAATGGTCGACTAGCGCAACGAAAAGGAAAGGCGCCAAACGGAAAGGCACCCAAGGTCGTTGAGAGGTCTCATCATGTTTCGTCCTTTAGCTCATCGGTCGCCGTTATACAAAAGCAATGTAAAAAACTAGTATATAGTAATGTACATATATATGTATATACTTGGATCTTCCAACTTTGCCTTTTCAACAAAACCAGCCAAAAGGCAGAACTTTGCACAGTTGGAAGATCTATATGATTACAATTGATTACATCTGTGCCCCCCTTTGCAAAGCACAAAGTCACACAAAGTCGGATCTCCCATGTGACATGGAGTCGGGAGATTGGTGGACATGGTCTACTTATGTCGTTTATATCTGCTTGTTTAGTTTCATCATGGTGTCCATGACGATCAATCGTGTTTTCGTCTGCCAGGGTTCTTTCTCCATCTCCGCAGTTCTGCGGACAGGACAATTCGACTCTCCCAGTCACCCTGCCCCCAAGCACCCGAACTGAAGCGGAGAAGGCTCCTTTTCCTGCCTCACCCGGCCTAGACGGAAGCCCCGTCCTCCGACCCAGACGGAAGATCCCTGCCTTGGAAGCGTCCTTACCGGCAAACTGCCGGAGGATCTGGTCGCCGCCGGGATGTTTGCCTGGAGTGACTTCCGTCGTGACTAAGGGGAATCCGGCCGCATGCATCTACAAGACGGGCGACCAAGTTGGGTGGGAGAGGTGCCTGTGGTTTTGATTGCACAAGTGGCTTTCGACATGAAAATACATGAATCGTCTTCTACCTTTACCAGGCACCAGCATGGGGCCCTCGGAATGGTGGCCGCGTAATGCCATACAAATCAAACAAACCCTACCATCCAGGAATTTATTTTCTGCATTGTAAGTTGCTCCACCTTCTACCTGAGAAGCCAGTTGGGCAGACTGGAGCTGCTCCCCAGCATCCGTCATGCCATTGGCGAGTCTGAAAAAGATTCATTTGCATGAATCATTACACGCACCGCCTGCAGGAACGAAATAGCGCCACCAAGATCAGCTCGATTGGAGGACTGCAATGAGGTGTTGAAGTCTCCTCCAGCAAGAAGTACATTTCTGAACGGAAGTGCTGCTAACCTGTTCTGCCAGAACGCCTTGGGGTCGAGATCAACGTGAAGCTCCTGCATGCACTCCGACCTCCCGTGCGAGACGTGAGACCGCCGGACCGCACCTGCGGATCCTGCGATGGCCGTGCAGGGCAGCCCGAGCCACCCAATTCGGAGGAACCTTTGGCCATGTTCCAGGGACTTCCTTCTCAGCTACTCGTCCCTTCCTTTCGTCCCGACATCCAGCCATCCGGACGCGCACACCGTGCTCCGCCGCCGTTCGGTCGCCGCAAGGTCCGTCGCCGCAAGGTCAATCGCCGAGAGTGGGACTGTCCAGGCGGTGAGAAGGATACCACGGTCCCAAACCACCATGAAAACCGGCACCTTTTCCCTGATGAACATCTGTTGCTTTGCGAAGAAGAGTTGGGAGCTTAGAAAAAACCTGAACAAAAAGCAAACCTGGAATCTCTGGACCTGGATGATGAACACTTAGTAGTGTGCAGAGTCTTAGAAGCAAACATTGACATGTTGTGTGTGTACATGTACGTCGTTCATCCTCCCGTGCACTCGGTATTTGGTGCTGCTCCTCTACTACCCGGCAAATAGGTATCATTGGGCCTCTCAATGTCAAAGCTTGCAAGGACCAAATCGATACCGGTGTCGCTGGCGCGGCGCCGCGGTGCCGCGTGGAGGCGCGGCGCGGCGCCTATGAACTCAGTGAGGTCGTAGGCCACGTTGTCGATCTGCGGATGAAACGGTAGGACACGTGGGTTGGATCATCGAAGGGTGGGTTGGATCTGATGGATCCTGCAGTTGGAACTGCAGAGTCTCTTGGGGGTAGTTCGTTTTTGGGAGCCAGGATTCCAGTTTTCCTCATGATCCAACAGTACACCTTTTGGAAGAAACCAGCTTCTCAGTGGGCGTGCTCAGAGCGGGATGATCTTCATGCGTGCTCATTCGCTCGGCGAAGAAGACACAGCCCGGTCATGCGCTAGACAAACACGAACATGGAGGCCCCTAACCAATATCCTTTGCACATCCAGGAGTTGTCTGATAGCTAGGCGCCTAGTTCATTCCGAGACTATTTAAGGCTACCCAAAGAAAGTCTAAATACTCAGCAGTTGCGTTCAGTGTGTCGATCACAAATCTGACGTGGCCACAAACTATACTCAACTCCTACCAAAGACTCAAAGACTGGAAAATCATGACATTCCAACTCACATGATGTGGAGGAATTCCTGTTTGGCCTTCCGTTGGCCTCGCCTCCTTGTTTCTCGGCTCCTGGAATGTCCTCACTCAGTTGCATGTCCCGCCGAACCAGCTAGTTCTTGGATTTTCCAACTCACCCGGTCAATCGACCAAAAAGAGTGGAACATCTGCTACCAAGGACGAGGGACACCTACAGAAATTGATTGCTGTGTGTGCACTGGCCAAGTGACTCAATGTTGCTTGTAGGATCCAAAACACTATGTAAACGTGGCTAAGGTTGGTTAACCAACAAGGTGGCGCATCATATTTTTCCAGACTTTTGGGTCCCCAACACCACCGGTCCACCGGATTGCCACGGCCCCACCAATTGCGGCGCCGGCCTCGAGCCAGAGTTCGCCAGACTCACCCTGCACCTCGACGGGTCGACGCGACGAGGCGACGGTGTGAAGCGGGTGGACCCGATGAAGCGAAGCCGGTCGACTGCCCCGATGACTTCACGGAGCCCTCGCCATCAGCGGCGTGCAGAGCCATCAGCAGTGCTTTTGTTCAGATCGGCAGCGGAAAAGAAGAACTCCTGAAACCTTCGAGTCCACGAGTCCAGTGACCAGAGTCAAGCCAGGTGTGGATCAGGGAATAAAAAGGTTTTTTTGCACCGCGACGGGAAAACAACGGAGAAACGGTCGTGCTTGGACATTGAAGAATTGGCAAAGAAAACCACTGTTCTGGGTGACCCGATGTTGGGGTTGTCCTGGTACTGGATGGCTCATTAGCAAACATGCTTGACAAGTCGCATTTTTCTGAGACAACCTTCACTTGTTGTCGGCCATAAGCAGTAGCAACAAACCACAAACCCTCTTTGTTCTAGATATCCAGGAAAATTGAACGTCTATTCCTTGGCCAGGTTGTGACTGCAGAACAAATAACCCACCCCGCGGGGAAAACCTCAGTTCTTCTTAGGGTGTTCACCTCTGGAGAGGCTCAGCTGAATTGAAGGAACCTGAGTTCTCTCGCTGACCTCCCCCGCTGTCGTCTTCCCCCCCCCCCGTGCCTTGCTGGCGAAGAGCTCGGGGGTCACCTGCCGCGCGAGCTGCCGCGGAGCGGAGCAGCCGCGCTTGGTTCAGTTCTGGTTCCCATAGGTTCTGTTCTGGGAACATCTGGGTTCCTCTCAAAAACATCCTGTCTCTCTGGTTCACAAGATTGTCAAGTCCTGTGAAGTTCTCAAACACATCCTGTCTCTCTGGTTCACAGAGATTGTGTTTGTCCGCAAATGTGAAGTGAACTGTATAGCTTTGCAGCTGCAACATAAAGCCTTTGAACACATGATGCCAACAACATCAAAAGAACTAAACCAACATGACAAATCTATTGGGCCCCCTCTGTGTCGGGAGTGTAGTTCTTTCTGTCTGCCTGTAAATGTGCAAAAATACATGTAGGATTAGTATCCTGACCCAACAAGCGACCCCAAAAATTGAGCATGTGCAGGTTGACACTGTGGGTGCACAAATAGAAGTGTACCAAGTTTCGAAAGCCAGGTCACGACCTTTTGGCTATGAACATGTGTAGAAGGTTGCACACCAGCCGGATCAAGGCCTTATGGCTATGATCAAGTGTATCTGACATACTGAAGCCCTTTTTTCAAGCGCGAAAAGGAGCGCAGCGCGCTCACGTAGGTTATGAGCCCAACCTTTTCCCAAGGGCCGTAAGTCCACCCCGAGCGGATCGTGAGGATCCTCAGGTCGTTGGCCGCTATGCCGCGGGCGGCAGCTGGCGCTGGCGCTGGCGCGGCTGGCGGCGCTGAAGCGGCGATGGGTGGAGCTGGTGCGGAGTCGCCCGAAGGCGCGAGCTCGATGGAAAGCGCCAAAGAGGACCAGGGAGTTCTGGCGATCGAAGACATCGCAGCAAAGGAGGGTGCGCTGGTCGCGGTGACGGGAGAACTCCTACCGTACGGACCACCCACAACCTATGGGCCTCAGAGGAGGGAAGAAAGCCGCAAGAAGGATGGCAAGGGACATGGAACCTCGAGACCGGTGGAAGTCAACCCATTCTGGAGCCAGACTGTCAAGGACGAGGCCATGCTCCGGGCCATGAGGCCAGCTGGACTCCCGGAGACATCTACATCATCGACGAGACCTATGGCATCTGGTGGAGAAGAGATGGGAGTTGACATCCAAGAGGTTCTTCGAGCGGTCATGTCACAGAATTCGATGCCCAAGAGGGAGTTGGCGGACTTGAAGAAAAGGATTGAAGACTCCGGCAAGGAGAAGGACCGGGCTTTCAAGGAGGTTCATCGACCAAAGCCTCCGGCATCGACACCTCCGCCGAGTCCACCATCGGGACCGCCGCCTGAAACCCCAGAGGCCGAGAAGGGTGCAGGCACGACCTCCCTCGGAGCGATTCCAGAGTTTCCAGGAGTTGAACGACGAGGAGAACCTAGGAAGCTATCTGATCCAGTTCAATGGCAACCGGGAGTATGTCATGACGTTGGACGTGGAGCTCCACCCGTACCGGAATCTTGGTTGGGAGCACTTCAGGCTGGACACCAAGGAGGGCAGGGGCAGAGCTTTGAAGGGAAGGAAGTGGCAGGGACTCCATACCCCGGAACCCAAGGAGGGCTAGGACCTGGACGTGGAGGACTGCCTGACTGTGCAGAACGAAATGGAGACCTGAGTAAGGGCTCACCTCTTGAACAAGCCGCCCAGTCCGTCTTGAGGCAGTTGGGCACTGGAGCCACGGATAGAGGCTGGGGCGAGGTGATCAGGTCAGTCGATCTTCGAGAAGGTGAGTTGGGATCACTGGTCCTGGGAGATTGGATCCAGCTCATTTCCCTGACAATGAGGGACCTCAGCGCTACTTCATGGAGGTGGTGGGAAGTGCTGCAGGGGGCTATGATGGCCTATCGGGAATGGCTTCGAGCGGAGCCGGTCCAGAGGCTTCACATCAAGGCGGAAGTGCCTCGAGAGTGCAACACCGTGTGGAGCAGATTGGAGCAGCGAGGGCAGCTGATGCTTCTGAACGCAGTGCCAGCGTCGATCCGATCTGAGATGCTGGCGAACAGGGCACGGCGAGGTCGATTGGAGCACTGGTGAAGGCGGTTTTCGGGGGGGGAGATACCCATCAAGCTCACTCTGACTCCACAGCAGCCATTGCTATCGCTGCCGGAACGACATCGTCATGGAGAACCCGGCACCTGAGGATCAGGGCAGCTGGGCTGACAGAGGCACTGAGGTCAAGGGAAATCATCCTCCAACATGTCGCTGGAACCGAGTTGGTGGCGGATGGCATGACCAAGCAGCTGGTTGGACAGCCTTTGAGGAGCTTCAAGAAGTACTTGGGATTGGAGCGCACGGAGGCAGTTGGAGGCATTGAGATCAAGAAGATTGACCTTGGAGGAAAGAACCCGGACCCGAAGTTTCTGAGAGGACTGGGGGTGTTGATCGCAGTTGCGAGCATGGTGACCTGTGCAGAGGCCTCGGAGGACTCGAAGGAAGAGGGAAGCAGCGAGTGGTGGATCTTGGTCCCCATCACGGCAGCGATTGCCATCTTGGGCGATATCCTCTTCAGAGTCAGGGCGGCGGGAGTGCAGAGGTGGTTTAAGCCTAAGGAGGAGTTGAAGGTGAAACTATTGTCGCCTGATGCCATCCTCCCGACCAGAGGCTCGGAGCAGGCTGCTGGGTTGGACCTCTACTCCACCATCGAGACCATGGTGCAGCCAGGGGACAGTGTGCTGATCAAGACTGGGATCGCTTTGGAACTTCCGAGGGGCAGCTATGGACGTGTGGCACCACGGTCGTCGTTGGCGATTCGAGGCATTGAGACTGGGGCTGGAGTGATCGACAGAGACTTCAGGGGAGAAGTCAAAGTGCTGTTGAGAAATCACTCAGATGTGGACCTCAGGATCTACAAGGGGGATCGCGTCGCTCAGCTCGTCATCGAGAAGATCCTGGAGTTGGAGGTGAGCTGTGTGGATGAGTTGACCACGACTACCAGAGGATCACGAGGATTTGGCTATTCGGCCCATGAAGAACTCTACCCCTGGGCGGAGCCAGACGACCCGTCCTACCAGCATCAGGAACTGGGGACTCGAAACCCTGTGAACAGGATCTCGGTGAGAGCGATGAGGGTGGACCCGAGACCAGAAGAGACTCGGAGGGCATCCACTGGGCAGCCATCGGAGTCACAGGAGATGGATGTTCTGGAGGAACCACCTGCTGTCCGACCTGAACCAGCTGGACGCCATCAAGTACCCGATCCAGATGTATGGCATCGTGGAGAGTACAACTATGAGGTGGAGACGACCAGGAGAGCTCAGCTGGGATTGGGACCGGCAGCATGGGATCGGATGATGCAGCGGAGGGGCCCAAGGAGGAACTTTGTTACAACTTGGGTCAGGCTGGATTCAGAAGGGACTCATCTCGTCTACAGTGAGCCTGGAATGGACCGGCAGGTGCAGACATCAGCCTCGAGCCAAACACGAGGTGATGGAGAAGACCACGGAGAAGGACAGGGAGCCGCAGATCGACAGCCGGAGCTGTTGGAGTCGACTCCAGGGATTGGTCCCTCGTTCGATGGCCCTATAAGACTCGTCACCCATGTCGGCTACGGCATCACGATGGGCAGGTGGGAGGTGAAGAATGAGGAAGTGCTGGACTTCTTGCGGGACCTCAACTTCCAGCCGGGTTTCTTGACGGAGAAGCTCCGTCGGAGGGTGGGGATCCCGCCGAGGAGGACCTCAGCCAAAGACGATTGGCTTTTGTTGGAGGACCATCAACATGGCAAGAAGATCACGGTGAGGGAGCACATGCAGAATCGAAAGAAGATGTTCGACTTCGAGAGCGCCAAGCTCTGGGACCAAGATGAGTGGAGCCCATGGCGAATGACGATCGCATGGCAGGTGATCGGAAGCACCCTCGGGAAGACCAAGTTGATCGTGGTCGACCAGCGATCGGGCCGGAAGAGCGAATACCTGCCGTTCAGCTGGGTGGGCTACACGCTCTTTAAGACCAGCTAGAAAGTGAGAGAGGGGCTTGAGCACACCTCCAAAAGGGAGGTAGTTTTTGGTCAATTTGTGACCCCAAGTTCGGCCATGTCGGCCAAAGGGGGAGTGTGGGTGCACAAATAGAAGTGTACCAAGTTTCGAAAGCCAGGTCACGACCTTTTGGCTATGAACATGTGTAGAAGGTTGCACACCAGCCGGATCAAGGCCTTATGGCTATGATCAAGTGTATCTGACATACTGAAGCCCTTTTTTCAAGCGCGAAAAGGAGCGCAGCGCGCTCACGTAGACACAACCCCTGCCATGCAAAATTTCCACCTTTTGAATTCCTGACACACAAGAAAGAGGTCTCGTTTCGTCATCCATGTTTCTTTCATCAACAAGGTCGGCAGCTGCCCTCTCCCGTGCGAACGGAACTCATTTCAACGCGTCGACTGAACTCACCCTCAGTCGATCGGCATCCACTCTAGTCCACGAAAGGCCGCCTGCATCAATGGTTTCTTGACCACTTCTGGCAAGTCCTCTGCAATGCTCTGCTCCTCCTCCTGGCGCCATACCGGACAGGACAGGAGATGAGAAAGAACAAATGTGCTTACTTCTTTGGTGCCGTCATTGTGTGTTGTCAGCATCATGGTTTGGTGTCGTTGTCGTGTTTAACATTGCAGTGGGTGATGAGCTGCAGCAGCCACGTAGGGTCATGATAGGGTGGGTTGTCTAGAAAAAAAGCACTCAACAAATGCCGGGCACAGCAAGCCAACAAGGGCCACACATTTACAATATGGATACCCCCAACGACCCTCAGTCACTCCCTCCGAATCGCACCAGCTAGTTTATTTGCATGTTTCAAGAATGTCTTACTTTCAGCGACACCCCACCCAGCTCCATGGCGTTTTTCTTTATCAACAGTGAATGCGGGCAACAAACAGGTGCGTTTTTCTCACGAACATTCAAGATCAAGCACTACAGTTCCACAGGCTCTTTTCTTGCGATCTGTTGTGGAGGTCTTGCGACCCACCAATCAACACGACTGTGGGTGTTCACTGTTAGCCCCCAGAGACTGTGGGAGATCATCTGAGAATCCTGCAACCGACCCGACACACTACACACATCGTCCGGAACCACTGAACCGGTTTGGAAGTTCGCCAAGAGAACGCACGTGGAAGTTCCCTTTTTGGTTGTTGGAGGTTTGGAAGCAAACAGTTGAGAACAGCATACCTCTACATCTCTGGGAATCTTTCACCATAATTCTTTTCAGGATGTCCATGTCTATTGAACAGTTTTTGGGGTTGTGTTTCTTCCCAGCACGTTTGCTTGTCCTCGCAAGCACGCTTGATATGCCGCACGTCTGTGCCAAACGCAGAATTCTCGACCAGAAGCCGGAGATTTCTCTTCCAAACCGCTACACGGCAGGCCGGACATTCTCGTCGCCTTCATCTCCTTCTCAGCCACATGAGCCTGGGTGGTGCTTGCGTGCTTGGAGAGCTTGGACTTACATGAGCCAAACTGGTTAAGTGTAAGCACGCAAACCACCAGTGTAATCCAGTTTGAACTACCTTGTGGACTTACATGAGGGTTAAGTTAAATCACGAAAACTTTGTCCACAAGTATTGCTACATATCATTACCAGTAAAAGGTGCCGCGGACACTTGCGAGTATTGAGGTACCTGTCATCACCATCGAACAAACCGGGGCAACCCTCACCTTTGAGGAGTTCCATAGTTTGTAACGTGGCGATATCGGGGGATTATACCAAAGTTATAATCTGTAACTGAGATGTTCCTGGGCTAAGTAAGCTAGGCTAGTCCTTTTTTTCAATCTTCCAGGACCAAGCAAAAATCATACCTGGACCATCCTGTCTGTCCTGGCTGGAGATCCCTATGTGGTGTAGGGTAGTCCAACCAGGATACCCAAACAGGATGGTCCTGGTACATATCACACACATGTGTACGTATGAAAGGACTTCTTCGTCCGAAACGAGAACGGCCTGCCTTGGAACTCCTGCAACAAGACGAACGTCTGCCTGAACCCTGCTTTCATTGGGATAAATTGGACTTAAAGACTTGTCAATGTTAACATAGGCTATACTTCATCCCGTCGCCGCCCCAAGCGGCCATCGCGCGTGCTAAGACTCCACGCCCCCTTTTCCCTTCCTTCCGGTAGCTCCCAAAACCGCCCAAGGCTCACGGCGAAAACACCATCCATCACCAGGCATCCTTTTCCACACCATCCGTCCTTCGCACTCCGGGTGGGTGCCCCCCCAAACGTCCAAAAACACCGTTTTCCTCCCGCTTCGTCTCGGTCCCAAGGCCGCGTGGTTGACGGAACCGCGCCTCATCCTCCGGGTGCAGCAGCTGACGGAACTTCTCCTCGAAGTCCTTCGCCTTCGTGGCGCCTGAGGAGTTCGGCGGCGCACGGCCACCCCGAGGTCGGCGTCCGAGTTCGGGATGGAACTGGTTTTCCTTGCCAAAACACAACATGTAATAGTCATGTATAATGATAATGATAATTGATGATACTTGATTATACTAATTATACATTTGCTTGCATGGATCACTGAAATCAACCACCTCAATGTATACGTAGATATGCCATTCATGGAGTGTATGGGTGTAACGGTGTAAATATCTCTGTGAGAGGTCAAAGAAGGAGGAGTGCATTCTAATTTGCAATAGTTCAGCATTCTACCGCACATCTTTCCAGTCTTTGGACATTGGACATGTCACTGCTGGTGATTTTTGGAACATGACCCCTACAACTACAGCCATCCCCACGTTGTTCAGAACTCGTTCTCAGCAAGAGTCATGACTCATGACAGGTGCTTCGGGTGTAGGTTGGAACTGAACCAAGCCTGTAGACTCGACTGTTCTGTTGATGAACTTGGTGTACCTGTTGGGAGGTCGACTGGAGGCCAGCCACTTGACTGGAGGCCACAACTATGGTTGATGGAAGAAGTCATGTCTTCCAACATCTCGGGAGAAACATGGAGAAACGCGGCGAAACAACGGTTCGAGCGATATGACCAAGGCAACTCGGTTCAACCTGCCAACTCGGTGTTTCCAATTCCCAATAGCTCTGTCTCAGGTCCCAACAGCTCTCAGCCATATCCATGTCCTGAAGCAAGGCCATGCTGAAAAACAGGGCATAGCGTCTGTGGCTGTGTAGACTTGATGCATGAACCACACTGGAAGCATCTCAACTTGACAAATGAATACTGGCAAACTGTGTATCAACACAGCATCCTTTTGTGGCACGGGATGCTTCACTTTGCCTGTCCTGCTCAAAAATCTAAGGATTTTGGGTGTACAAGATTCGAGGTGGGTTCCTGTCCGTGTCCATGCGATGGGACTTGTGTTGGTGCTTATCGGCTTGGCCAAGCGCATGTTTCGGAGATAGAAATGAGGAACAACATGATGAGGGAAACCCAGGCATGACTTCATGCAAACAAATGTCTATAATTCTAATGATGGTGATGATGAACATACGCAGTGACTAAACTTAAACAGCATACACTGCCAAAATTGAAACATCCTTATACAAAACATTCTCCTTGATGAAAAAACTTGGCGTTTCGCTTTCGCCCGTCTCTCTCTCCCCGTTTCGGAGCTGCGGTGTACCACGCATCGAAGGCCGCGCAGAGCGCGTGGCGCCACCTTCTTCCGCCAGGCCGTCAGGAAGGTGCTGGCCAAGCCCCAGTTCAAAATCTCGGCGCCACGATTTCGTCACGTGTCGCGCGCCGATTTTCTTCGTTCGCACGATGGTGGGACGGCGCTGATCCTTCCGAACAATTGGGGGCATCGGTGGTTGGGACGGCGTCGGAATTCGCGGGCGTGCCTTTTTGGGCAGCTGCAATGGTTCTGGATGTGCTTCAATGAGATCTTACTTCACCTTTTGGGAAACTTGTGTCGCCGTGCCATACTGAGAACAAACCTCACACGTTTATATTTGGGCACCACCCATTCATCGAGAATTTGTGGGCCCCACTGCGGCCCCACAGTAAATTCGCGCCTGCGTGTTTTGGCTCAAGATTGACCCACCAAGGGTAGCACTTTGTGATCCCAGTAAGTTCTTTTTAAGGTCTTGAACTAAGACCTTCATTCATCAAACATGATCTTCCACATTGGGAGGGACTTTCCGGTCGCGTTCGAAACCCATCCACCTTTAGATGATGACTGGCAGCCAAAAAGAAGAAGCACGCGCGCGCGTTCTGGCAGTGCTTTTTGCAGCTGAGAAGCTGAAAAGAAAATGGCCATGCCGTGATAGGTCCAAGACTCCTCCCACAGTGCTAGGATGATTTTGTTGGTCCGGCAGTGGTGAGACAACGAGGTTTTGAGTCATCCATGCAAGACAAACTGACTTGGATAGAATGAGTGGGACACATACGAATTCATACGAACACCTGATTGTATACTTTGCAAATTGGTTAGTCTTTTAAAGGTCATCTTCCGAAATGATGAAAACTCCTAAGACGAGGGAATAGTTTCGCTGCTGCCAAAAAACAGCATAAGTTGATGAATCCCGGTAAAACATACAGTATTCCGCAGGTTGTTCTGGCCATATCGAAGATTGCTTTCGTTACTTTTGTGGTTAGTTTCGCAATGTCATTTCGTAGGCTGATTGAAATTCCCCAAATATTGGCATAAGTGTGAGGCTGCCCGCAGGTTCCCCCTCTGCGCGGACACCCATATCTTCATAAGGAAATGATCACAACTCAAACATGCGAGACTTTGGACATGGTTGCGCACCAGTGATCTTGGTACTGCAGCCTGCTACCCATGTCGCCCGAACCACCTCGGCGGCGCATGTCTGCATGTCTGAGTCGATGTTTCTTTAACACATCGCTGGTCTCAAGTCCAAGAGTCGACCGTGGATCAGCGCCACAAATGACAAACATTGACAAACCTCATGGATACCAGTCTCAGACTTTTGAACCTTCATTACTTGTTTTTCATCGGGAACATCTTTTTACTTTTTGATTCCACATCACGACGAGAGAAACCAATTACTTTTCTGGCATGTATTGAAACACTATTTTGGCATTGTTTGCATATCTTCTGACATTATTTCTGCAATTTTTTGGCATAACTTCTGACATTCTTTCTGGCATATCTTCGGACATTATTGTTGATATTATTTTTGGCACATCTTCTGACATTATATATATATATTTCTGGCATCTCTTCTGACATGCTGGCATAGTTTCTGTCATTCTATCTGGCATATCTTCTGACATCTTTTCTGGCATCACTTCTGACATTCTACCTGGCATATCTGCAGACATTTTTTCATACGATATTCTTTCTGACATTATCTCTGGCATATCTTCTGACATTGTTTCTGGCATATCTCTTGGAATTCTTTCTGGCGCATCTTCTCACTTTCTTCTGGCGTATCTTCTGACATTCTCTCTGGCACATCTACGTCACCAATCTCCACGGAAAAGTGACGACCCAACCTCACCTGAACCAGGTGAGACTCAGAGAAAAGTGCAGCGTCCAAACGAAAAGCGTCCGAGACCGCTCAGGAGACGGAGGCGGAATCAAAAAGGGTTCTCTAACTTGCACCGGCGCATCCCTGCCAGGAGGTCCTTCCGTCAAATCCTCAAGCGCATTCATGGTCGGTTCAATCGCTTCACGCGTTCCACGTAGGCCATGAAGAACTTCTTCTTCCAAGAGCGCCGTGACGCCGTGTCAAACAGGGAGGTGCCTGAAGCCCTGTATGGGCACAACTCTTCACCAATCATCGCCCATACAGCACCGCGATCAGCTAGTGGCAGCTCACCCAGAAACCACAAGAAGGATTGAATCTCCCGGCATGAACGCAAAGCCTGAGTTCGATCGGACTGATCTCTTTCAACCTGGAACGCAGCCAAGCAAGCTGCCGCACTATTGGCCCCGAGGCCAGACATCAAACGAAGCTGTCTAAGGTACTGCTGCAACATTTCAAGACCAACCGGACCAAAGGCACCTGAAATCCCACGCTGCCACGACATCAAACCATCATGCCAAGAGACCATCTGATTTGTTTTCTATATTACTTGCTTAAGCTGTATTCATTCAAAGTTAGGACGTCCCGTATTGTTTTACAATGTTTGGTATCTGAGAGCATCCCCTGCAAACACTGGAAGTGTGACGAGCTCTGTGAAGTGCGGAAGGATCACCGCACGGAGGGCTGCTCCAGCCTGCCTGCCTGCACTCCACGAAGACACAAGACTGCCCCTTTGCGGACTTGCCCATGGGCACTGTCGAACTTCCCTTTTGCACTCGACCGGGGTATCGTTGGGGTATGGTTTTGGGGTATCGTCTTTATGATGTCACCTTCAACCTTCAACCTACCCAGACAGTCAGTCGCCGCATACCCCCCGACCCGCTGGTATACGGTCGTCTGGGCCCAGGCTAAGCGCGCAGCCTTTGCCTGGATCGAATCTCGGTCTGCTTCAACCACCACAACTCATCGCAGGTGAACCCGCACACTCAAAGTGGACACATCCAAAAAATGCAGAAAGTTTGTCGACAAGCGGTCGACCACCTCATCACATGATGGCCCACATCCTGGGGGGGTGAGATATATTCCTTGGTGGGCTTCAGCACTGCATGTGGACCTTTGACAACTACCCTACCCAAGAGTGCGTGGAGCCGCCCTGAAAAAGTCACTTCCCACGAACCATGCCTTCCACACTATTCCGCCGTAGACCCCTTTCGTCCACTGGCACTGAAGCCTCCATCTTGGCTGCCACGCCATGGTCCGGCAGGTTGGGGCAAGACCACTGCGCTCGTCGATCACGTTCGGAGAAATACGTTCAGTCTGTGATCCTAACCTGTTTACAGGTTCCAACATCCTCAAAACCGACCTGAAACAACACCACCGAGGTCTTTTTTCATGTCCTTGGTGGAGAGCCGATTGAGGTCTTCGGACCAAAAGATCAGCGAGTAGAGGTAGACCAAGGTGGGCCTCGAGAAAGGCAGCCAGGAGCATGAGGATTGGAGGTGGTCATCAGAATGATATATATATATATATGTATAATATATTTAGTTTTGTTTATGCTTTTTCCTATTTAGTTTTTATATTTAGTTTTCTAAGAGTTCATATATGTCTGTTGATGGAAAAGAGTTGCAACAGGCCATCAACAGGCCATCAAAGCAAGTGGTGAAACAATGTAGTTGGAGGCACCTTGGCATTGTTAAGTGTTTTGCACAACATGGTCATCGCCGCAACATCGTCAACACAAAACTGAGTAGATTGGGGTTGGTTCGTCACGGCCGGGTCCTGGTACGGTGATGATGCTAGGCCCGGCTAGGCCTAGGTATGGCCACTTGGTATGACCGCAAACACACGTAAAGACTCCACAGGTCTTGACCACTGGTATGACCCATCTCGGTAGACTGGTGGTTTGACCCAAGTGGTCACAAAAGACTCAAACTCATATGACTCGAGAGTACGAGCAAACCCCGGAACTGCTTTTGGACTCCAGAACCACTTGGGTACACCACCACTCTCGAGTGTTCACCGCATCCGAGCGCCCAAGCGATCCGAGCGCCCGCGCCCGCCCCGCGCCAGGCGAAACCAGACCGTCAACGTGACCCAGAAGAGTTCGACCTGCCTGGAAGATGCGGTGTTCGGTGTTCGGTGTGGGGAGACCGAGATGGGAGTGGAAGACGCGGTTGCAGCCACCAACTTCATGGCAAGGTTTTGGGACCCCTTTTTGAAGGGCTTGGGAGAGATTATTCTTTGGGAGACCTGGTAGAAAAGGGGCTTGTGCACCTTTGAGGAATCTCTTGGCCAATCTGAAAACGGAATGGTAGACTGAGGGACCTGGAATGCTGGAAAATTAGAATTGGGGTTTTGGATGGCTTTGGGGCCCAACTGTATGCTCAAAAAGGCTAATGAGCTTGCAGGCCAAAAAGGCTAATGAAATTGCAAGCCAAAAAGGCTAATGAGTTTGCAAGCCAAAAACGCTAATGAAATTGCAAGCCAAAAAAGGCTAATGAGTTTGCAAGCCAAAAAGGCTGATGAGTTTGCACGCCAAAAAGGCTAATGAGTTTGCAAGCCAAAAAGGCTAATGAGCTTGCAAGCCAAAAAGGCTAATGAGTTTGCAAGCCAAAAAGGCTAATGAGTTTGCGAGCCAAAAAGGCTAATGAGTTTGCAAGCCAAAAAGGCTAATGAGTTTGCAAGCCAAAAAGGCTAATGAATTTGCAAGCCAAAAAGGCTAATGAGTTTGCAAGCCAAAAAGGCTAATGAGTTTGCAAGCCAAAAAGGCTAATGAGTTTGCAAGCCAAAAAGGCTAATGAGTTTGCAAGCCAAAAAGGCTA